CTGTTTGAAATCACACAGCAGATTTCATTGCAGTCTCAAGGAGGGTTTGCACGCTCTCATAAAACAAGTTTGTATCACAACATACGAAATTATTCAGATTAGACCAACTCGCAGGAACATCCTCATGTTGCCTTTCAGCAAGATCACATAAGAACAGTTCTGTTTTCATGAAACGAAAATCCATCCTAAGTCCGGGGTCATCCATCCAATTACTTTAATGCAAAATCCATCCCTTAGGGTCGCAACAGTTTTGGTTTCCTTTCCAAACAGCTAGGAATTTGTAATTCAGAGAAGCTGTGTGAGACTAGGGGAAAGGGGTTAGAGCAGAGCCTGAACGTGCCTGGGGAAGCCCAGCCCGGGCTCAGGGGGTACGGCTGCAGCGAGAGCAGCAAGCTCGGCTGCCAGGTACCGCTGCACCGGGGCGCTCAGGGCTGAGCTCTCCCAAGGGCAGCCCCGGGGGAGGGGGGGGGTCCTTCGGGGAGGTGCTGGGCCCCCAGTCCAGCGCCGGGGCGGGAGCGGGACCGGCGGGGGCGAGCAGAGCCAGCGGTGCCCGGGCCAGCGCTGGTCCCCCCGGGCAGTGCCGGCGGGGCGGGGGTGGGCTCTGACCAGCGGCGGGGGGGCCCCGCCGCAGCCCCCAGCGCGGAGGACGCGTTGGGGAAGGGGGGGGATGCCTGGAGAGAGCGCTGGGGCTGGAGGGGCAGGGGCGGGGGTCGGCCAAGGACCGGATCCCCATGCGGAGGAGCAGCTCTGCGGGGCCTGAGGGTGGAAGGGGGGGATCTGCTGCCTCCCCTCCACGGAAGGCGGCAGGAGACAAGGAGAGCCCCGTCCGTGGGTTTCCTCTGCTCCTCCCGGAGCCACCAGCTCGGAGGAGCCAGCGCGACGCGGCGGCACCGCGGCCACGCCGGAGGGGACCGGCGGGGTGAAAGGCTGGCGAGCCCCCCGCCGCCCTGCGAGAGCGCTTTGAAGCGCAGGACTGGCCTGGCGGGGCTGCCTGGCCCCCCCGGGGGGTGTGAGCAGCTTTGGGGGGCTCACGCTCCCCGCCTGCCCTCGGCTCGGCTCCGGGCAGCTTTGAGGTGGGGTGAGGGCGAGGGCCGTGGGGTGCGGGGCCCCCGGCCCCCCCTCCTTTGCTCTCTTTGATGGGAGATTTCATTTGTTTCTCCTCTCAGCTTGTTTGGAGATGAGTCACTGGGTTTCAGAAACGTAAGAGAGGGTTGCCTGAGGAACTGAAATGCACTTTGTTTGTTTTCAAAGGCACTTAGCAGGGTGACTGTGAGCAGGAAAAGGGGAAGAGGCTTTGAGTCACCGTGGTCCCCACATTACTCAGCGTGCTTTAGCAGCAGATGCCATCCCTGAGATACAGCTTACTTTCCTCCGGGAAAAGGAGATAGCTTTCCCCCTGCTGTGCATTGCTTTTTTTCTTTTTTTTTTTTTTTTTTTTTTCTTTCTTTTTTTTTTTTTTTTCTGAACAAGCACCACGGAGGAGGCGGGAGAGACATCAACTGTGAGCAGGATCAGTGCTGCCCCTTAACCTGGAGGGGTTCCCCCCTGGCCCTGCTTGGACGCTCATTCCCCTTCTGGGAGGCAGAGGACAGACATCTAAACTCCTCCCCGTGGTGCTGCTGTGACATGCCACACAAATCTGTCCCCGTCCCTCTGCCGGGAGAGGCGCGGGGTCTGCAGGGACTCGTCCCGCATCAGCCACAAACCTCCCTCCAGGTGGGTGGGCCAGATGTTTCCTGACAGGGTATTTTTCTCTCGCAAGATGCTGGGCTTTTGAGGGATGAACGTTTAAGACGGGAATGTACCAGCCCTCCAGCGAGCCCCGAGCCGGCTGCTCCTGGCTGCGGGTGCTGCTCTGCTCCCGGGGGGCAGGGGGACAGGGCACAGGCAGCCGCTCCGGGTAAAGAGGGGGACATCAACTGGGAAAACTGGGAACGTGAACTTCTGTGGCACCGACAGCGCTTACAGACTGAAATAGTTTGAGCTTGGGCCAGGATATGTTGTTTTTTTTCATTGCAGGTAGTTGCCAAATATAAAAATGGTTTGGTGGCCATATTTTAAATTGGTTATACTAAATAATATATGCTAATGCTGACCTGGCCTTTGGCGGAAGAAAGAAATGATGTTCCTCAAGACCCACAGGAAGACACAGGTAGGCAACGTCCTTCACACAAACACTGAACCATGTCTGCGGGCTCACTCCCCGGGGCCGTTACAGGCCACTCATGGCAAGGCATCGGGGCTGCTATGAAATAAAAATAAAACCAAAACCCCTTTCACTATTCTATCCCAAAACCTTGCCAATACTTCTTCAAAAGTGGAAAATACCGTTTTCCTGCCTGCTCTATCACCAGTATGTCCCTCTACATCTGGGGTTTATCTGGCGTTTGGGTGTCAGGAAGCAGAAGTGTCGGTCTGGCAGCAGCCTTCTCCCCCTGGGCTGGCAGAAACCCCCATTTCTAAAGCCAGGAGCTGTGTCCGCTGGCCGGGGGCTGGCAAAGCCGGCGCGGGGGGCTCGGGGAGGTCTGGCTGCAGGAGCCCTCGGGGCTTCGCTTTGGCTGCTTTGCTCTCCCCAGCAGTGGCGAAAATGCACCCAGACAGGGTCTCCCGACAGCGTACTGGCAGTGACTGCTGCCAGCCCAATTCGGCAAAAATTCCTGTTTTGGTGAAAAGTTGTGATTTCATTTTTCTTTAAGATCTTTTGTGAGATGACAACAATGTGAAAAAAAATTCTTTACTTCTCACCAGATGGAAAAATCACCCCGCTCGGGGCATAACTATCCACCTGTTTTGCAAAGGAAGGCTATTCCCATCTCTTTTCCAGTCTGACACTTGCTTTTCCCCCGTTCCGCCTCCCTTGGCTTGCCAGCTTGCCCTGCCTGGCCACCCCCAGCGAGGAGCCGGTGGCCCACGGGGCTGTGAGTGCAGGGACATTGCAATGTGCGTGAAACGTGTTCTCCTGGTCGTCCCCTGGGGCACGGCAGAGCACCTAGAAGGACGTGGGATGGTTCCTGGCGGGAGCAGCAGCCGGCGGCTCCCCGGTGCCGATGCCGGCGGTGTGGGGAGCGAGGGGAAGGCGGCTCCTCCCTGGAGAGGTGACGCAGCAAGGGGCTGGGCGAGTAGTAGGAGGAAAATAAATTTGCAGTGTCAGAAATAAGATTAAAATCAGCCATGCAAGAGAACAGGCAAACAAAACCCTCCTGTGCTAGGAGTTCAATTTTACTTGTCTTTTAGTTGAGTGGCCCGTCCCACTGCGCTCATTGTCTGTCTTACCCTGAGTTTCTGCCAAGATCGTGGTGTGATCTATAGTGCTCTGCAGACCAAAACCAGATTGCTTCCAGCATAAAAGGAGACACGGGTTTCTTTTTTCAGATGATACGCATTTAAAAAAGCTCATTCTGCTTCTCTCGCAATCCCTTACTTAAAATCTGTTCCCTGTCCTGTGGGTGGGTGCTCTGGGCGGTCCCTGCGCCTCCTCCCCCACCACCTACAGAGGCCGAGCCATTATAAAAGGCGTGCCAGTGAGCTCGGAATTCATCTGCTGTGACAGCGCAGCCCAGGCTGCACTGAACTCCCCCCAGGTTGGCAGACACCGACCCTAACAGCCCGCGGTGCTGGCTGCCCCCTCCCTCCCCGCTCCCCTTGCCCGGGAGCTGGCATCCAAGGCGTGCACAGCAATACTGCAGAAAGGTGCAGAAAAAGGCTCTACTGAGAAAAAAACGAACGTAACTCGCACATTTTTATTACTTCTCTATTTTGATAGCAACAGCCCTGCTTTTCCCGTGCCAAGGTTCAAATGCCAGCTAGGGCTCGTTGTGACGAACCCTGGTTCCTTTGTACGTTTACCATCCCTGGTTTTTGTCCAGCTGACTTGACAAAAAATGACGGTGTGTTTCAGATGGGTCCCCTCGGGATGTCCGACCTCCCGCGGCGGCTGCTGCCGGCCCCCGACAGCCGGCCGGGGACACGGGGCTCGGGCCATCGGCCGCGGAGCTGTGTGGCAGCGGGGGTGGCTCCTGGGCCACGTGTGGTTAGGATTTGGCTTGGGGGGAGCTGGCGAGCTGCGCTGGCCCAGGGCTTGCCGGTCTTCCTTTTGCATCGCTTACCTGCGGCCGAGGGGACGCGGGGCCAGGCAGCCCCGCTGCCCACCCGTGCTCGGGGCTGCTTCCCCCGCTTCGCCTCGAAACCCAGCAGCAAGTCATCAGCCGTCCAGAGGTCACCGAAACCTAAGGGTTACTAATAGCCACGCTGGACCCAACAGCAGGTTAGATGAAAACGGGAGTGAAAAAACAAACCAGCCAAACGTTCTCAGAGTTGTGAATCCTCCCAGATGTGTTTGCTGCTGGGACAACATCCTTTGGGAGAGAGGAGACCCCTGTGAAACTTGATTTTAGAGCCCTGCTGAGGCAGCCCCTCGTGTCCCTTCTGTCAGCCCCTGCATGCACTCTGCTGTTTGCTCCCAAACCTGCGTTGCTGCACAAGCTGTCACTCCTTACCAAGCCGCGGGCGCTCTGCTCTGCCCCTGCTCTGCAGCGTTTGCAGCTCCCGCTCTCAGGCTGTGGCCTTCAGGTCTAGCTTCCCTCCCCGTGGCTGGGAACTCGTGCACTGGCACCGTTATCCAAAGAAAGCATTCCTTCCCCGTCTGTGCCAAAAGGTAATTTGAGCAATGCAAGGGAGGCCGAGCAAGAGAGAGAATGAACAAGTTGAATTCAGGCAAGGGTCTGAAGCAAGCAGTGCTTTAAGGCCGAATTATTGCTGAGAGAAGAAGCTGCTCAGTGAGAACTGCCGCGTGCAGGAATGGAAAAATTAAGCAGATTTCTTGAATTGCCAAGCCTAATTCTTAACTCTCGTGGGAGCGCGACGCAGACCGGGCGCCCTGGTGATCTGCTAGAAGAGATTTCTGCAACGTGCACCTAAACCACAGGTCACGTGGCTGGCTTTCCGGTCCCGTACTTTTTGATCGCGGAGGGGGGCCAGTGTATTTCAGTTCCCTCAGCCACGCCGCGGCACTCAGCGATGCCGTTTTAAACGCCCCTTCCACCGCCATGGCCCTGCGGCGGCTCATCCAGCAGAACCACAGCGCCGGCGCGGGAGGGTTGGGTGCCGGCGGCGGGGAGCCGGCCGTGCCGAGGGACAGCAGGAGGATCCAGCTCCTGGCCAGCACGGTGGGGACGCTGCCCCGCGGGCGCAAGCAGGTACGGGGCCGCTCCGGTGTCCCTCCCGCCCGGAGAGCTCGCAGGGCCGAGCGGAGCCGGGAGAGCGGCCCCAAGAGACCCCCCGGCGGCTGCCGGGCGCTGGAAGGGTCCCCGCTGCCCGGCACCCTCAGCCCGCGGTTCTGGGGTCGCGATGGGATCTTTGCAGCGTTCTGCCTGCGGGGGCTGGGGAGCGTGGAGGGTTTTTGCAGCCGGGATCCTGCCCCGGCTGCGTTTCTTTACAGCAGCGCTGCGAGCCCGAAGAGGCTCCTGCTGCCTGGGCGTTCCTTTAAACCCGCGTTTGCTTCGGTACAGTGGCCCGGCTGGACACTCCTTTGTTCTGGAATGTTGACAGAAAGCGCCTACCATGAGTTATATCCATGCAGATTTTGGAGCATTTTGCTAACACTGTTGGGTCTGGTTGGGCTCTCTCTCCTCTGGGCTTCCCCCCACCCAGAACAGCCCATTTCTGCTCTTTGCAACTGGATTCCCGCAGAACTCGCTCTTGCCGTTGCGGTCGCCAGCTGAGCAGCGCCAGCTTTGGTCTATTTGATCAGCATGAAGAAGCTTAAATAGAAAATGTTTGAGACACGTTATAATCTGAAAGTATTATCAGAAAACTGGTACGTACTATCTGCGCACTTAAAGCTTTGCTTTGTTCAGTAGCGGAAATGCACTTAACGCTTTCCCCTGTGCAAGTGTGGGGAGATAAAGGGCAGCCAGAGCCAGCCTAATCTTGGGGCGGCTGCTGCCGGGGCACCCAGGCCCCGCGGCCGTGCCCGAGCAGCCCTCGGGGTGACAGCGGTGACGTGGCTCTTTATAAAACAGGGTGTTTCGCTCGGTGGGCACGCCGTGGCACCGCTTTAAACCGCTGAAGCCTGAGACATTCGGCTATATTGGCTGCAAACATTGTGGTGATAATGTAATCCCTTATTTGTGGTTATTATTATTTCCGTGGGAAGAATCACCCATCCTGGCTTTTTCCAGACACCTCCCGAGGCACACTCTGCCTAGCCCGAAGCAGGGATCTCGGATCCTCGGTGCCACGACCGGCCATGCACCGGCTTGGGGGATGCTCTGCAGCCACCACAAGAAACTGCAGCGATAACTGTCTGCAGATACCTCGGTTTTCGTGTGCTTTCTGCCTTTTCTGACAGGCGTTAAGCTTATGAAAGCCCACAGATTTTTTAGGGGAAAGGTACAAAGGAAAGGTGAAGTCTTAGCGTAACAGAGACGTGATTTGGACACTGTATAGATAATAGTGACAGCGTTAACGGGAATGCTGGCAATCCCTGGCCTTCAGAATCTTGGAACCTCACCTGTTTTGGCAGTTTGAGGGGCCGCCTCTGTTGGAGAGGTGCCCCGGTGCTGTGTGCCCATCGGCCCCTCGTCCCTCCACGGGAGCCCGAGTGCCTGTGCACCCCCAGGACGGGGCAGCCCAGCCGCGGCCCCGGCTGGCCCCCAGCTCCCCACGGCGCACCGCAGCAAAGAGAAGGAATAATCCTCCCCTCAATTGGAAACACAGGGCTGCTGTGTAGTTGTTTTGGGGTTTTTTTGTTTTTGTTTTTTTTTTTTTGTTGTTGTTTGTTTGTTTGTTTTGTTTTGTTTTGGTTTTGTTTGTTGTTGTTTTGTTTTGTTTTTGTTTGTTTGTTTTAATTATGCAAAATAAGAGAAGATAAGGACCAGTGGGAGGCCCAGCTCCAATGCTCTGCTGGATGCAGGGGTTTTCTTGAGCGGTCGTGATTCTTGTCCTTCCCATTTCTACTGTCCTCAGAAATTACACCTTCAACAGTTTGGGGAAGAGTTCCCTGCTCCAAACACTTTTGCTGTCAGAAAGTTCTCCTCGGGATTCCAGCTGAATTCTTCCACTTGTTCTCATGCCTTTTCACAGTGACCTCTATCACCCTCCTGCCGCAGGCTCTTCCAGTGGGCATTGCTGCAGGGGTCTCGCAGTCAGGTTCCTGCTGGTTCCAAACCTCTCTCCCCCCCAGAGTAGGTGCCTGTGAGTTTATGAAAGCTGTGATGATGTCAAATTATCACCCCTGCACAAAAAAAAGCCCGGTGTTTCTTCATTTCATATTGGCTGGTAGTTGCTCAGCTCTCAATTCTAGCTTGTTGCAGGGAAGACTAGATAGGGCGGCCAATTTTTTCCAATAAAATTGGAATGGGTACCGCATTACCATCTTCCAGCGATGGCGCCCAGATGTTTTCTGGAGGTGAACTGAAGCAAGTGTTTTTTATTTTGGAAATACACAATTTTATATTTCAAAGGTTTGGAAAAATGAAAAAGCTGACCTATAGCCAGTTTTCCAGAGGTTAATTTCCAGCGTAATAAAAACAAACGTGAATTCCTCCAGCAGCGGCCTCCCACCGGTCAGCGCACCGTCACACCAGAACGCGTTGCAGCTGGTGCTTCGTCTTGCAGCGATGCCAGTTGGGCAGCCTTCACGGGCGCCGGCATCAGAGCTCTTACTGAGCAGGAGGGCTCTCCAGCTCACCGGGGGAGGCGCGGTGGGGTGGCGGGAGCCCTCCCGGGCAGGCCAGGCTTTGCAGGCAGCGGCCGGCGCGCCCGGAGGTCGCTGCTGTTGGGTGCTGCCCCTGCCCCTGCCCCTGCCTGGCCGCGCTCCCCGCCAGCGCCTGACGGGGGCTTTGAACGGGACGATGGGCTCCTGCATCCCGCTGCTCCGCCGGTCTGGGACTCTAAGTTCTCCTCTGACCGAGGGAGAGGCTGCGTTGGTGCAAGCTGGGGGCGGCGTGCCACCAGCTGGTTTCAGTTTTTTCTCTAAGCTGCTGGTTTTAGCCACGCGCCTCGAAGAACCGTGGGCCTACTGACCTTTTTCCACTCTGGTTACAGCTTGCCTTAGCCAGATCCAGCTCCTTGGATGACTCCTCCAGGCCACAAAGGTATGAAAACATTCTCCTCTAATCACTGCTATTTACTTATTCTGCAGGAAACCTGTGTGTCCTGGGGATCTTCCCGTTCAGCAGCCCAGAGGGGTAAGGGTGCAAGGCAGGGGGGTACCCAACACCTGGGACGTGCGGGTGGGCTTGTGACATTCGGTTTGAGTAAGGAAAGCGCAAGCACCACCGCTGCAAAGGCCGGGCAGCGGCGTGCCGACACCCTGCGAGCACAGGGAGGGGCGGGGGGGCCACGGCTGTTTTGGTTAGAAATACAGAGCACACGAAGCGTGGCACCCGGCGTTCACGTGGAGTTCTGTGTGTTCTCACAGGCACCTCGTTGCTATCTTAAAAGAAGATAAAGAGACGTTTGGGTTTGAAATCCAGGTAAGACTTACATGGCAAGTCGATTCATTTAAAAATAAAATACGGTGCAAACTCTGAAGTGTCACATCCTCAAAGTTAGATTAAGTCTGCATAAAGCAGAGAAAGGCATTGTCAGTTCCTTGTGAAATGTTAAGACCTTACCGTAGTGATACAGAACTAGGATGCATTGCCAAGGAATTTTTTAATAGCGGAGGCCACAGATGAGAATTTCTGGCCTTCTCACAAGTCAGAGCATTGAATGTAGGAGAAATCTCATCCAAAGCCAAAGATGAGGCAACGGCAGGCAATGCCTTCTTACCTCCATAACCGAATATTTTTGGGAGAATTGTATATGAGAGTATTTTCATATAAAAAGACAGAGGTCAAAAAGCTCTCGAAATAATACCTTATACTAGCATTTTACTACCTCCTTTAACATATATAGGGACATATGTGTTTCTGAAGTAGATGTACAGCATTGATATGGTTTTTAATAAATAACTGCTAAGCATGACTATTTGGGGCTGGATCACACAGGAAGACATTCTGTTAGATGTAGAGGCCAGTAAATCATCACACAGGAAAACCAGAACCTTATGAGGATTACTGCTAATGGGAGACTTTTGTTCTGTAGAATTTTGTGAGAAAGGTAGCTCTTAGATCAGTAGGCCTGACAAAATGCTGGTTATAAATAAAAAATAATCCCAGGAATAAAAAGATGTAGTTTTGGGAGCAGCGGGTTGTGGCTGCTGGGGGGACCCGCAGGCGGGAGCCCGTTCCCTGAGCCGGAGCCCACGGGACCCTCCCGCGTCGCCCCTCTGTTCCGATCGCTGCGGCGGCAGGGCATCTTCAAAGCGCTCGCCTGTATCTGGGCACAGAGGGAAAATAGTATTTTCAGTGAAATGAGTGTATTAGGAAAAGCTTAACTTTTTCAGATTTGGTTCTGTGACTAATGAGCGGGTAAGTGTTCAGCTCGTGAACAGTGGAGAGCTTTCAGAAGGGAGGATAATTGAGTCAATTATTGGGCTTTTGTATAAATTGTCAGGGCAGATTTTTCATTATGTGTGACATTCTGATAAAAATAATTGTTCTTGGCACATTTTCCTCCTGAACGTACGCTCAGCGTGAGCACTTCACTAGAAAGCCCAGGCTATGGACAGCCGGCATCTGTCTGATACAAAGGATAAGCCATTATTTAGAAGCTGTAATTTCATTACTACAAGTTAAATTTAGGCGAACCAGAAGAAGATGATGTGAAACTCCAGGTCTACCATCTGCAGGGAGCTCATGAGAACTGCAGCGGTGGCTGAACGCCAGAGCTTCTCGCGTGCCGCCGCGGCTTCTCGCGCTCCCCGCTCGCGGGGCAGAGCCCGGGGCGAGGCGGACGCGTGCGGCTCCCGCAGCACCCCGGCAGCACCTCGCTCCCCCCACCGCAGCCACCCCAAAGCTAGATGTCCCCTCCAAACCCATGGCCCGGCCACCTCCCGCAGTCCCCGAGGAGAAGGTGGCACACGAGAGGGAAGTCTGCCCTCCCGGCTGGAGTGCTTCTCTTGGGGCCATCGGTCACGCCCTGGAGGTGTCCGCCTCTCCCCGTGGCTCCCGTGGGGATGCTGGGACACCTCTGTCCAGATGGCTCCAGCTGGGTGTGAGGAGTCCCATCCTGCTTGTCCGGCTCGTCTTGCTTGAGCTGGCCCAGCCTTTCAGGTTGGTAGGTGAGACCTACTACTGCTCTGAACTAGGTGGAAAAAAAAAAAAAAAAAAAAAAAAAAAAAGCAAGCGTGACCTGCAGTGCCATGTCCTCCAAGACCCTCGGGTTTCACTTGGTGCTCTTAGTTTAGCCAAAAGTTTCAGTGTTGGTCTAAGGGCTGAAATCACTTCATTGGTGTGATTTGGCCAGATAAGCTCTGAACTCACCCAGTCTTCATCCCTATTTGTTCCATGCTGACTGAGAAATTTGGGAATCTAATGTGACTTCTTACATCTGGCTTAGATGTGGCTGTCATAGATTTTCAGGAAGTTCAGCTTCAGTCTTCAATTTCGATCGGAAGAAGTGGCTAAATACTGATATTTGCATGTAACCAAGAACACATTTCCTGTCATTGCAAGATCTAGTCAGTTTGCGTCGCCTACTTTTGCATTTTTCTAAATACACATCGGCACTGATAATCACGATGGATTTATGCTTAGAATTACTTAAAGTATATTTAAATGTTTAAGTCAAGAATGAAAAGCACTTTTGAGGGGGTGTGTGGATGTGTGGGTGAGGAGTTTAAGAGGCCAAAAGAGCCAAAGAAGAGGTTCAACTCTTCTTGCTTTTCAGTTCTGGCGAACCAGCCCAGCCGGCCTCAGGTGGCATTCGCAGCAAGCAGGAGTCCCGCACCTGGGGAGGTTGAGTCTCGCCGTGCCCTGCGCTGGCTGGGAACACGAAATTCCCTTCCAGAAAGCAAGCTGCACCCACGCTAGCAGATAGTCTTGACTGAAGTTACTGAGTTTTTGATAACGAAGAACAAACTTGCTTTAAAACTATCTTTTTGCAAAAACAACTTACAGGCATCTGTCAGGTGTCTGCTGTCCTCTATCATAAGAACGCAATTTCTAATTGTTAGGTTATACCATTGTGGTGTTCTCACTTGCATGATAATAGACCCTGCACATCACAGCCTTCTCATTTAAAAAAACGTGTAAAATGACTATCAATTTTTAAAATTGTTTTCATGGTTCTAATATCAGTAACACTGTCACTTTGGTATTAACAGACCATTCGGTTTCCACACCAAAATGATTACTCCCTGGAGGTATGTACCTGCGTCTGCAAAATTCAAGAAGAAAGTCCCGCTCATCTTTCTGGCCTTCAAATTGGTAACTATTTGTGGTTTTTTCCTGCTGTGGGTGGCCTTATCTTGCTTTTCTCCCAATTACTTCTATTGCAGAGCGTGTAGAAGGCGTGTGTGTGCTGCAGGCGCTGATTCTGGCCTCTGTGTATCTCTAACAGGCGATATCCTCGCCAGCATCAACGACGTCAACACCGGCGGGTTTAGTCACAAGCAGATAGTAGACTTGATCAAGTCTTCAGGGAACTATTTAAGGTGGGTGTCCCTCCTTCAGACGGTTTTTAGCCTAATCGCCCCTCCGGCTGGAAGCCAAGAAAGCTTCTCGTGCCACCGCGGGCTCCGGCGCTGCCGCGGGAGGAAACCCCCGTGGGGCTGGTTGTGCAGAGCCGCGACCTCGCAGCAGTGGGGGCTGGGGAGCGGGACCGGAGCTCTGCGGAGGTGCCCCGGCGCTGTCCCCCCGCGCCCCCGCCTCCGGCCGCTGCCATGCGCTTGCGCGTCCTGCACCGGCACCGCCACTGCCGAAGGCGCGGTGTGCTGGGCCGTGCCGTGCCGTGCCGTGCCGTGCCATGCTGTGCTGTGCTGGGCTGTGCCGTGCCGTGCTGGGCCGTGCCGTGCCGTGCTGGGCTGTGCTGTGCTGTGCTGTGCTGTGCTGGGCCGTGCTGTGCTGTGCCGTGCCGTGCCGTGCTGGGCTGTGCTGTGCTGTGCTGTGCTGGGCTGGGCTGTGCCGTGCTGTGCTGTGCCGTGCCGTGCCGTGCCATGCTTTGCTGTGCCGTGCTGGGCTGTGCCGTGCCATGCTGTGCCGTGCCGTGCTGGGCTGTGCTGTGCCGTGCTGGGCTGTGCCGTGCCGTGCCGTGCTGGGCTGTGCCGTGCTGTGCTGGGCTGTGCTGTGCTGGGCCGTGCCGTGCTGGGCTGTGCCGGGCTGTGCCGTGCCGTGCCGTGCCGTGCTGGGCTGTGCCGTGCTGTGCTGGGCCGTGCCGTGCTGTGCCGTGCTGTGCTGTGCTGTGCTGTGCCGTGGTGTGCTGGGCTGTGCCGTGCCATGCTGTGCTGTGCTGTGCTGTGCTGTGCCGTGCTGTGCCGTGCCATGCTGGGCTGTGCCGTGCTGTGCCGTGCTGTGCAGTGCTGTGCAGTGCTGTGCTGAGCTCTCACGTGGTGCGGTGTGATGCACTGAGCTGTGGTGTGATGCGGTGTGATATGATGTGATGCCGTGCAGTGCAGTGCAGTGTGATGTAGTGAGACATGGTGCAGTGTGACGGAGTGAGCTGCGGTGTGGTGCGGTGCAGTGTGATGTGGTGTGATGTGGTGCAGTGCAGTGCAGTGTGATGCAGTGTGGTGCAGTGTAGTGTGATGCAGTGTGGTGCAGTGCAGTATAATGCAGTGTGGTGCAATGCAGTGTGATGCAGTGCAGTGCGATGCAGTGCGGTGCAGTGCGGTGTGGTGCAGTGCAGTATAATGCAGTGCGGTGCAGTGCGGTGCGATGTGATGCAGTGCGGTGCAGTGAGCTGCAGTGTGTTGTGGTGACCTACGGCGCGGTGCGGGGTCCGGCAGCCCTGGCAGTGCTCAGCATTCCTCTCCTCTCCTCTCCGGTGCCAACATCGCCCGCTCCCCGCAGGTTGGAGACCGTCAACGGGGCCATGTTTCTGCGGAAAATGGAGCTGGAGGCCAGGCTGCAGTTCCTGAAGGTAATGATGTGGTTAATTAGCTAATGCGTTGTTGATCGCAGAGGGCTGTTGTGGGCTCACTGCTAATGGGGTGGGTGGGTGGCCTGGCAGGGGGCAGGCACCCCCGTGTCCCCTGCCACCAGCACCCCCAGCCACCAGCCCTGGAGTATTTTCTGTTTTGTTACATTTCCCCGCCTCACAGTAATTTCTGTAACTCTCTAAATATTTCAATTTCTGCGTGTGGGCTGTGCTCAGCTGGTAGGCTTCTCCCCCCCCCCTCCCCCGGAAGAAGAGCACAGTGTATTTTAACGTACTCCATGTTCAGCAAAAAGGGAAGGCAGGCTTTCTGGCAGTGCTCAGGCTCGTTGGGGACGAGGGGTGCTGACGGCACCTCCGGCTTCTGTTCCCCCAGCCGAGGCCGAGGCAGCCGGGCTGGCAGCAGGATTTTGGGTGCCAGCACCCCAACATGCCTCTCCGCTCGCCCCGCTGCAGCCGCAGGGCCAGGGCCAAAGCCGCGACTCGGTCGGCCTGAGTGAGGGGTTTTTCCTTATGGCAACTCCACGCCAAAACCCTCCGCACAGGAGTATCGTATTTTAAAAGGTGCATTAAAAATTAATCTGGCTAGACTAAACCTCATGCCAACTGGGTTAGGCTTGCCAGCGCTGAGCAGCAGGGACAGGGTTTGCCATATGTGCCATCACCTGTACAACGTAAAAGTCCTGCCACGGGGGTGATTTTGTGCCTTGCGTTTAGCATGTTTCAAACGACCTTCATTTGATTTGCTCTGCGCCGCGGTTACGAGAGTACAGCACGGGGCGTTGTAATGTGCTGCGTGACACCGATGCTGTGGGTGATGTAGACGGCAGCCGCGGGGGCTGCGGAGGGAGGAAAGGGGGGTCCCTCACCCCACGGGTGTGCGGGGTGCCGAGGGCAGAGCCTGGCTGTGCGGGCGACGATGGTCACCGTCCCCTCGGCTGAGAAGACGGGCCGGGGCGAGGAGACCCGGGTGAGACCTCCCTGGGCTCCGTTCCCCTCGGAGGCTCATTGGAGTGACGGGGGGCCGGAGGGGGATGCTTTTGGAAAGAGCGGGGATGGATTTAGGTGTTGCTGCCCCGTAGCCAGCTGTTATTTTCTCTCTGGAGGAGGTAACGCTGGCTGGAGGGGGTGTGGGGGGCTCTCGGCTGCTGGGAACCATGGGGAGAGCCGAGCCCGGGGGCAGCGCTGGTGCTGACTGGGGGGCTGGGACAAACCCTGCACACCCCGGGGGGGTCTGGCGTGGCGGGAGGCCGGTGCGAGTGCAGGGGCCACGCCGGCCTCGCGCGGAGCTGCCGGTGAGCCCCGGGGGCCGGGGCGGTGGGTGGGGATGCTGAGACCACCCGGCTGGGCGGATGGGCCAGACGTGGCGAGGAAGGAGCCAGACCCCCGAGCCAGAGAGCGCGTGGCCGTGTCAGCCAGGACGCGGCAGCAGCGTGCTTCCACCCCGGGCACCGGCAGGGCCCCACGGCGAGCCGTTCGCTCCGCTCCCTTAGAAAACCTGGGGGAAACGACCAGTGAAGTCACCAGGAATGGGCCATCCCCTCAGCACCCCCCCCCGCCGCCCCTCTGCAGGGAAACTGTAATGCCAAAATCTCAAAATCCACTGTGAAAGGTTCTGTCTCAAGAGGGGAGTTTTAGCCACCAGCTGTTTCCCAGAAGCACCAAACCTCTGCAACGAGCACCCTTACAGAGAAAGATCTGGGTGTGTGCCCTGCCCTGCGCTCTCACGCCGGCGTGGCTGCAGTGGAAAGAACCTAATTCTGTTCATAACTCTCTCTGATGCCTGACCGAAGGGTGTGCTCCGTCGCTGCAAACCCCCGTGACCGCAGCGAGACGGCGACGTGCCCGCCTGTGCTGAGCATCCCCGGCCGGGACGTGCGGCTGCACAAGCGTGTCCTGCCCTGGGGACACGGCAGCCAGCCCAGCACCCACGCACGGCACGGCAGCGGGGACACGCACCCCGGGGAGCGGGGGTCCGGCCGCGAGCAGGCACCCGCCCCGTGCAGTGTTCTGGCGGCTTAATTAGATGGGAGAAACCAGCACCAGGAGGTGGCTGTTCTTCTGGTTGGGTGCGGATGGGGAAAACCTTTGGGCAGCTCCCCAGCCTCTCCCGCGTGCAGTTTCCTAGCTTTAGTTGAATTCTAACTTCTAAAAACGACTTTATTCAACACTGAGTGAGCAGACTTTGCCAGACTAATTCTTAAAAGCTGCCGTTGCTCCCGTTTTGCAGGTGAGCCTGTTTTAGCGCTGTAGGAATGGCAGCTGGGGGGAGGCTGGAGCACCCCCGTGCCTTTGACTTGGCAAAGGGCGCCCAGCCGACCCGTGCTCTGCCACGGCGTGCCCAAACCCGCTAGGAAGGGATTCAGTGAGGGGAGCGGCCGGCACAAGGCTTGCCTCCCACAGCCCGTGTAAACCGCTCCTCTGCCGGGCTCTGGGGGAGCCCCCGGAGAGCAGCCGGGCTGCCCCCGCCGCCGGGGGGCTGCTGGGGGGCTGCAGTGGGGCTGCCGGCTCTCTGCGGGGTGCTGGGGGGATGCTGGGCATCGGTGGGGTGCTGGGGGCTTGCCGGTGCCTCACCACCCTGCAGCCAGGCCGTGGCTTTCCTTTTGTGGTTGATTTTTCCGAAGTATGGAAAAGAGACAAATCTTTATCTTTAATACTGACAATACCTGAATTACTCTGCCTGTGCCCACGGTGTGTGAGCAGCGTGCCCCTGCTGCAACCCTCTGCCTGCGTTCCTGGGGCTCAGAGGAAGGCCATGGCTCCTCTGGCAGCTGAAGCCCAGTGTGGCCAGCTGAAGCCCAGCGTGGCCAGCTGAAGCCCAGCGTGGCCAGCTGAAGCCCAGCGTGGCCAGCAGACACCAGTATGGCCAGCTGAAGCCCAGTGTGGCCAGCTGAGGCCCAGCGTGGCCAGCTGAGGCCCAGCGTGGCCAGCAGACACCAGTGTGGCCAGCTGAAGCCCAGCGTGGCCAGCTGAAGTCTGTAGGTGGCCTGTACTTTCTAGAGACACCGTTTTCTTGACAAGTGTTTCATGCTTCTGCGAAGGTGTACAAGTGACGGAGCCCTCTCTCTCCCCCACAGCAAACTCTGCAGCAGAAATGGGTGGAGTTGCGCTCGCTGCTCTTACAGGAACAGCGCTTGCTGCACGGTACGTCCTCCTTTCCGGGTAGGAAACCGCAGCGCTGCCGAGTCTGGCTGTGGAAACGCTGTCTGAGCAGTCAAAAACAATTCTTTAATCTGATTTTCACTTGCTTTCTTTTTCTCCTGTTAATGAAGGTGTGGGGCTGGCCCTGGGGGAGGTTTTGTTTGGTTTGGTTTGGTTTTTTTTTTTTTTTTTTTTTTTTTTTCTTTCCGGGAGTGATGAACTTGGATGCTGCTTGACTAATGCAGACCAAAGGCTCTTTTACATGAGTTCTAGGAAAGGCGTGGATGTGGGTCGCAAAGTTTTTTTTCCATTCTTATTTTGGATTTATCAGGGGAGAGTTTTGTTTGTTTGGCGTTTTTTTTTATGGGTTGCCCAGGGAGCAGCTTCGATTCCGCATGTGGGGGGAAGAGGGCAGGGGCAGGGAGCACCCCAGGGCCGGGGAGCAGCGTCCCCCCGAGGGAGAGGGGCTGCTGCGGCGCCGGGGGGGGCTGGGCACGACGTTGCCCCGTGCCACCGTGGCACAGGCACGCCGCTCTCCGGCCTCGAGCAGACGCCGGCTGGTAACGCTCCTCTCCGGCCTCTGCTTCCAGGGGAGGTGACGGGCGAGGCGCTGCCGGGCGCCCCGGAGCCCGAGGAGCCGGGGGGGTGCGGCACGCCGGGCCCCCTGCGCCCGCTGCAGCCGCGCTGCTCCAGCGAGAGCAGCTCCCGCAGCCGGCTGAGCTCCGTGACCGTGGACAGCGAGGACAGCTTCTACCAGAGCGGGGCCTTCGAGGAGTCGGCCGCAGAGAGCCTGAGCCGCCAGTCGAGCGGGGAGGACGACTGCTTCTTCCCCCGGGACGGGGACGGCGCTGCCGGGAGGTCGTGCTCTCTGCGGAGGAACCGCAGCATCAGCCTGGCCAGCAGCGGGTCCATGTCCCCGCTCTGGGAGGGCACCGGCTGCACCAGCAGTTTTGGGACGCTCCCACGGAAAAGCAGGAGATCCAGCGTCCGAAAGCATCTTTTGAAATTCATTCCAGGCCTTCACCGGGCGGTGGAGGAGGAAGAAAGTCGGGTCTGACGTCGCACGTGTCACCCCTGATGTCCGGGACTGCTGCGTGGGCTGGGGCGGAGGGCGGCAGCGGGTGAGGCACGGTGGCACGGCACGGCAGTCCTCCAGGCAACAGTACTGATGGTACTGAAAAAGCTCTGGGGTTTTAAATTATTTTAGTTTTTAATCAGAGCACACTGTGGACCTCTTCATTGATGTGAAAAATGACTAACTCTGAAATGTGAAGAGCCTTTCCAGAACTTCCTCAGCGTACTTCAGTGTTAATAACAGTTTTTAATTGAATGCAAAATTGATAGCTATTTATTTCCTGTTACCGAAGTCATAGTCTTCCAAAGGTCTTTTTAATAAAACAAGCGCTTCTGCTAAAACCACTGACAGCCCTGTCTGAAGGAGCCCGGAGCGTACAGCACAGAGGCCCCGGGCAGTAATGTTTTGAAACAAGGGACAGAGATTCACCCGCGGTTTGCTGTGGGGAATTGATGAGGGTGTGCTGGAGCAGGCCAGGAGCACGCTCGCCACCTCCCCCGGCACGTGTGTGCCCGTGGGGACCCGTGCTGGCCCTTTCTCCATGGTGCTGGCCCGTTCTGGCTGGCCATCGCCCGGAGAGGTGGCGGCTGCTGCTGCTGCTGCTGCTGCTGCTGCTGGGGGACCTGCACGCTCGATACGTGTGCCAAAAAAAAAAAAAAGAAAGGGTGACCGCCACGATCCGCTTCCCAGTCTCCGGAGCCGGGATGGGCTCCCCTGCTCAGCCCTGCTCACACAGCGATAGATTTCCGAAGGGACAGCCGGCTGCCGCCGCTTTTGCATCTCTTGGCAGCGCTCGCACACGCCCTGCGATAACCTGGTTTATCGGTTGCGATCTGAGCAGCTGCCGTCTCTGCCGGTAGCCGATATCCTGCCCGACCTGCCTCGTTCCAGGGGATCTGGAGCAGAAAGGACCCTCGTGCTGACGCCCGTGGGCGCAGGGGAGGCCGGCGGCGGCCGTGCCGGGGGGGGAGCGCGCTGGGGAGCGCCGCCGCGTCGGTTTGAGCTCCTCAAGGCGAGAGGATTGGCGGCAGAGGGGTGTGCTGCAGGGCTGGGCTGTGCCTGGCCGCGGCGCCAGCTCGCGGGTCGCACTCCGGGGCCCCCTCGAGGGCTGTGCTGGGGTCCCGGCCCCCGGGGGGCAGGAGAAGCCCCTCGGGCCGGCGTTCCCACCGCTCGTCCCCAGGAAGATCAGTAGCTGTTCACATTTCTTCAGGAGCGGAGGCTTCAGGCAGTAAGATTAACTCGATAGTTTATATGAAGTGATGTAATAAATATGGGCACAGATGTGAAGAAAAAGAGAAATTTTATTTCCCTCTCAGGCAGTGCAGAAATAGGCTGTTTGTTCACCCTAGGCAACCTAATTATGTTTTCCAAATACAATTGGATGGATTTTAAATATAATTTAAATAGCTTGTATGAGTCATTCATCTTTTGACCGAGCAGACCGTGCGGTTGTTTACCACTCAGGTACTACTGTGGCAGGATTTCCTGGTCTTTTCAGAAAGCCCAGGCTAAACACAATAGCCTCCATCTGAGACAAACCCCAACTAAAACCAACCCGTACCCAACTCTAACTTCTCTAATTAATAAACTTTGCTAAGCCAGCAGAACCTGTACTGGCATCTGTAATTTCTCTTGAACGGGTTAAGTGGATGGTGATACAGCGAGTCTTCAGGAGAGCCGGAGGGCAAGCGGGAGAGCGGCTCACGGGGTTTCTGCGCGTGGGACTGGCGATGTTCTGTCCGTGCTGCGGAGCTGGGCAGCCGCGGGGCAGCCTGTGAGCCCCCCTGCCCTCGGTTCCCCCCGCCCCTGGCCCGGGGGCTTTGCTCTGGCACCCGCACGGAGCCAAAGCCGAGCGTCAGCCCAGGCTGGGGTGTTTCGGGTGCTGGTCTGGGCTCCGGAGCTCTTTGCTCAACATCAAGTGTTTTGCCTGTGATTTGCTGTCTCAAACTCGAGCTTTACTTTTCTTTGCCAATAACACCAGCTGAAAGGAGAAAAAAAAAAAAAAGTGGAGATTATTTCTACTTGGACAAACTGTGTCGTTAAAGCCAGATATATGGGTGTGAAAGCAACATGTGGGCACAATAACCAGAAAAGCTGGTGAAGCTTGTTCTAGTGCCCCAAAGAGAACAGGCAGCTCCAGCACTTAGGAAGGGACCTTGACCTCAGTCCCGCGCTGCAGTTTGGATGCCCGGCTCCGGGTTTCGGGCCGGCGGCCGAGGGAGGAGCAGGGGCCGTCACCTGCAGGGACGCCTGGACGTGTCCAGCCGGGACAAGCCCGGCCGTGCGGCCGCGGGTGGCCGGTGCCGCCTGGCTCCTCGCGAGCGGGAGCGCGGAGCGCTCCTCTCCATCCGGCCAGGGAGCGTTTGGAGCCGTGGCTGCTCCGTGCATGTGTGTCAGAAGACGCCAATCTGGGCACAGCCCGGATCCTCCACATTGTTTTGTAGAGGGGAGGAAAAAAAAAAAAAAAAAAAAGTGGTATTTAAAACACTGCATAAACTCTAGTCCCTGCTGGAAATTAGTGCAGCTTTATGGTCCGAAGCAGTGATTCCTTTTGGCATGGAAAGTTAATTTGACATACATTGCAGATAAGTGCTTGCCTTTAGTGTGGGAAGGCTGATTGAGCCTGAGCACCCAACAAGCTTAAGAAAGGCCTTAAGAAAAGACCAAATAAATGATGCTCTTCCAGCGGGAGCAAGAGCATGCTTCGGTTGCAGCAAGGCGAGAACATGACATGTTCACGGCCGCGATCAAAACAGGATGTGGGTGACAGGCGGGCTCTGCGGGGCCGCTGCAGCGAGCACCCAGATCTGCGGTGCCCCAGCCTAACCAGGGGAACAGGGAGCTCACAGGCAAGCCCAACAGCTCCGAGAGCAAAATGAACGAGAAAGCTCTCTTAAAATGGCATTTCTCCTTGCAGAGAGCGATCTGGAAGGCGGGGGGGCTGGGGCAGGAGGAGGGCGGGCGTATGGGCAATGTGGCCCGCGGGGCCGGGGCTCCAGGCAGCTTGTGGGGAAGGTGCTCTGGACCTTCAGCCAGGGATGTGTCCGCACTGCTCACTGATTTCCTATCAGCCAAGGGATTTTTTTCTCCTTATCCCCCATGGATAAAGGGGGCAACACGAGTTTACTGCAGAAAGAAGGGTGGCTGCGCTGAAGAATGCCATTCCTTTTTAAACTTAAAAATATTCAATTGCTTTGATGAATGCTACTGAGCCTGACCTTGTAAGGGTTCTGAACCACTTAACCAGGTCTTGCCCAGTGCCCAGATCTAGGCAACCCCTCCCTGAACTCAAGACCCTGCATCAAACACAGGCAAGACTCTGTCACGGCACTCAGCCCCTGGGTTAGCAGTAAACAGGCAGAAAACCCACTTGAGGTGAGGGAAATACCCGAGTCCTAAATCTTCTGGCTTGATTTAGCACAGGGCAGAGTGAGCTGCAGCGCCAGAGCTGGCAAACCCGCTGACGTGCTCTGTGCTTCAGTGGCACGGGCGCGGTGCTGGCTGTGCACCGGGGTGCTGGGTGATGGTGGGTGCTCCCGGGGCACGTCGGGTGCTCCCGGGGTGCAGGCTCAGCCCTGATGCTGAACACGCTGGCTGCTGCTCATGGGGTGTCAGCGGTTTTCCCACGGCCTGGAAGTGCCTCTTTTGCTGCCCCGAGACTTACTCACCTCCTTCACGCTGGCTTGCAGCTCTCTAACCAGCTTTGCCCTTTTTTTATGACCTTTGCAATATCTCAGGGTTTTGTTTTTTGGTTTTTTGTTTTTTTTTTTTTTTTTTTGCTGGCCTTTCTTGGCCCGTAGTTTCTACTGCGGAAGCTTTTTTCCACAAAACCACAAAACAGGTTGTGGTTTCTGCTGGGAACATTTCAAAGCCAGTGGAAAATCATTCTGGCTTCAAGGCTGCACTATCCTGCAAAAACTCTCCCCTCGCAGACTAGAAGTCCAGCCCTGGCAGCTGCGGATACACGTGGGGAGTTGCTGTTTTCCCTGCCTGCCCCGTGTCTCTGCGTGCCCGGGGTTCTGCTGGACTCGTGCTGAGCGCGGAGCAGGCGGCCGTGCCCTCGGCACCCGCTTTTCTGCGCGCTTGTCGGGGATGGCTCTGCCTCTGCCTCCCCCCGTGCAGTTCTGCTCTGCTGAGTTCTGCTTTCGCACCCGGCCTTTCCTTTCTCACGCAGCTGTTTTAGACGTTTTCACGTGTAGCAGCTGGTTGCACCCAGCTTCTGTAGAACTGAAAAGACGATCGCGAAGCGTAGCTGTCGCGGGTGATGGCGTTTGTCCTGCCCACCACTGCGAGGTGGGGATGGGAGCGTCTCCGGCACGGATGGAAGTGCCAGGACATGGAGCTATCCTGGCTCTGCCCAGGGAAGGCTCTGCAGCCTGAAGTGCTTCTCTAAAGTTTGGGTCTTTCAGTACAGGCTTTATATATATATATATTTTTTTTTATAAAAAGCCTAAGGAGGCAGAAAGCACACCACCTCAGGTTTGTGCCAATTAAATGTTTTCCTAGCCTTGGGAGGTGGTTTTGCCCAGCCCTGGGCTATTTATAAATAGCTGCCTGTGGTAGGAGGAATCCGCAGCTACTTTTCCTTTTTCCCAGGCCAGCTATGAACCCTGCCTGCTTAAAGGCACGGCGGGGGATGCCGCAGCAGCCGGGCAGCCTCCGGCCTCTCAGTCACCGTGATGGCTTGGGGGTGAGAGGCAGCCCCTCAGCTCCTGGGGACAGTCTGGGGGGAACAAGCTGTGCGGGCAGACGCCCCCAAACAGGCGGGAGCTGCTCACCCCTCATCAGCCATCCGGCGGGCTCCTCGCACAGTGTTTGCCACGAAGGCAGCAGCAGCTGCCTATCTTTAATACTGACAATACCTGAATTACTCTGCCTGTGCCCACGGTGTGTGAGCAGCGTGCCCCTGCTGCACCCCTCTGCCTGTGTTCCTGGGGCTCAGAGGAAGGCCATGGCTCCTCTGGCAGCTGAAGCCCAGTGTGGCCAGCTGACACCCGTTGTGGCCAGCTGAAGCCCAGCATAGCCAGTTGAAGCCCAGCATGGCCAGCTGAATCCCAGTGTGGCCAGTACGAGCCTTGGGCCAGCAGCATCCCAGCCCCGAGGCCGTGCGAGCGCTGGCTGGTGCCTGATGCAGCTCTGCCAGGCAGGACGCCTGTGTTTCCACCTTTCCTTTCATTCCTCTGCTGGGTGAAAAGTTAAAATTCTGAGATTTCCTGTAGAAGAGGAACCCCAAGGTATGTTTTTTCATAAACTTAAGGTATTTATCTTGTTGACAAAACGGAAATGCCCGATTGTAGTTTGTTGACATGATCCACGGGAGTTTTTCTCTGGGTGTTCAAGGGAAATGTAATCCCTCCTGGCTCCCTGGTGGGAACGTTTGTGTCCGGCACGGCCGTGCCTGTCGCCCTGCTCTGGCTCTCGGGTGGCATTGCATCGCCCGCGGTCACCCCGGGTTTCGTGGCCTCTGTGCTAGAGCTGCTCCGGTGCCCGTTGGCGGTGCCCGTGCCCCCGGGCAGCCGGGGGTGTGCAGGAGCTGCTCCCAGAAACCTGTGACCAGAGCAGAAACTGGGGGACAGAGGGTTTAACAACAGGGTTCCCCACAGAGCTCGGCAACCACCCCGCCAAACCCCTGCCATGGCAGCGTCTTCCTGTTTCTGGAATGAGTTGGAATTGCCGTGGTTTTGATGATTTCCTTCACCAACTTTCAAATCCCTGTTGAGCCCCAACGCCTCTGAAATCCCAGGTGCCATTTCTGAAATTTTAGCAAAGGATAGCTCGAACGGAAACTTCCTGCGCTAAAGGTCACACGGAAAATGATTTATAATAGATTCATGCAAATTGTGCTTCGACCACGAGGCGCTCGTTTGGGAAAATGCAAATTGTCGAGAGTTGGTTGTGTAGCCAATAGATGGCATCAGGAAATACCTAAAAGTGTTTCAATATCTTTTTTCAATCAAGAAGCCAGGCAGGCAGGTTCCTGGGGAGGTGTCCCTGTCCCCATCCCTGTCCCCATCCCCGTCCCCGTCCCTGTCCCCGCGGGAGCCGGTGTGGCTCCCGGCTCTGCTTGTCAAGCCTGGCTCCGTGTTTTCAGCTTCAGCTTATTTCGGATTTGAAGCCTGGCCGGGACTTTGCCCCACGCTGGGGCCCCGGTGCAGGATTTGTGCTGGCTGTGCTGAGTGGGGTGCGGTGCCCATCCGAGGTGACCGTGGCCTCTCGTCCCCGTGCAATGGCCACATCCCCGCTCTGCCCTCGCAGTCAGCGAGGTCCTGGAGAGTGACCCCCGCCCGGCTCCCCTGCCCAGGGGGATGCCAGATTGGTAGGAAAAATAACCTTTTCCTCTTCAGCCACCAGCCCCCTCCTCCCGAGGGCACCTACTGCTGAGCGTCGTCAGCTCACTTGCAAACCTCACCATCCATTTTTCTTGGACGAATTTTTACAGCATAGGATTGATTTTTATAAATCAGTTACAGCAAACTCATTTTCATAGCAACAATGAGAAGTTGTTGATTTAAAGATGCAAACCCACGGGTGAACAGAACCAGTGGAAAAGCTTTGGGTCCATTTCTAGTCAAGGTCTGAACTCAACAAGAGGATTTCCAAATCCTAGAGCCCAAAGGTGTCAAAAATGCTGTATTGTACGAACACAGAAAGTCATTCACAGCAGGAGATTACACTCTTACATAACCCTGGCTTTGGGCACCAGGGTCGAGTTCAGCCATGGCCAGGAAATGCCCCGGTGCTGCCGGACGATCCTCCTGCCGCCCTCTGTAAAACGGTCCCCTCTCGCTCCTGCTGGCTTTAGTCTGGCTGATAATTACTGATGTAAACGCTAATCTCTCCCCTCGCCCCTTTGAGGTTCCTTCAGAGAGGAATCTCTGCAGCTGGGGGTTGTGCTGGGCACGGGGGGGGCTGTGGGGGGGTCAGCAGGGAGCAACCGTCCCGCTGGGCCTCGGGGACCTGCCCCCTCGGTTCGCCTCTCGCCACGGACCCCCGCTTTGTCCTGCGCGCTTGGTTTTCATCCTCTAGTTCTGCCCCCGAGGGCTCGGCAGGCGACTGCAGGCGCTCAGCACCCGGCGGGATGCGGCCCCGGCCGCGGACGGCGCGTGGCCGGGCTGGGGCCGTGCCGGGGGGCACCGTGCGCGGGGCACGTGCCCTCCCAACCCGCCGGTTTGTCCCCGTCGAGCGCAAAATGTGCCCATTGTCCGGCCGGCGGCTCGGCGCGGTTTATCGCCGCGCGAGCCCGGTGGGGAATGTTAAGCGGGTTTAGGTGGCAGCGGCGCTGCGGAAGGCGGTCACCCTCCGGGGATTAGGGGTCAGAACAATCGTCCCTGTGACCAGGCCGAGACACAAAGGGCCATTGTGCCGGGAGCACAAAAATCTCTCTTTATTACCGCGGGGCTGACATGCTGAAAGACCCGCTCTCCGTGCCAGCACAAAAGCTTCCTTGCCTCAGATTGTTTGTTTATGCAAATTAAAACGGTGCGTTTAATTATGCAACGGGCCGAGGCTCAGCAGCCAGCGAGGTGCTGATTGGATCGCCCCGTGGCCAGAGCCCGCGGGCAAGCCCTGGCCACACCGCGGGCGCGCCCGCGGACCCCGCTCTGCCCCAGCGCCCGCGGGAGAGGAGACGCGCCTGGAGCCTCGGCGCAGGGGAGCAAAACCCCCGGGGGCGGAAGGGGTGAGGAGTAGCTCTCCCCGCCCCGGGGTGCAGGAGCGGGGCCCCCCGAGCTCCACGGCCCCGGTCGGCGGGCACGGCCCGGCCCGGCCCTCGGCATGACAGAAGAAATCCCAGCGGCATCCAGCATGCCCGAGTGCAACGGGAGCGTACCCCCGGAGAAGGGCCCGCTCCAGGTCGTCGGTGTCATCGATGAAATAGCAAAATCCACCGGGACGGTTCCTTATGCGAATGCAGAAACGAGCCCTGACGCTCCGCCTGCGGAAGAAAATCAGGAGGAAAATAGAAATTCATTGGCAGCTCGTGGGGAATTTGATGGAGAGAAGCAATGCGAAGGTAAAGTATGAGGCTGCCTTCCTTTAAGTGTTTGGCACGAGAAGCTCCGTTTCATGGATAGCCTTACAAATAGCAGGATGTCCTACGTGTGTTAGTCAAAACTCCTAACCTATGGTAGTTGTAACAGTAACTCAGAATAATCCAGAGTTAGGGACAAATTTGAGCTAGCAGTTTCACAGGATGCAATGAAAAGTATGTAACTAAAGAAACAAGCAAGTTTTTAATCCGCTCTGAAAATCTACTGCCAATCTAAAACCTAATTATCATCACTAACTACTCCATCAGTCTGTTCTTTCTGCTTTGTATTTCCCAAAGAAAAGCGAGAGGAAAACGATGGGACACTACAGCAGGGATCAGCCGAGATCCAGGACACGGGGGCTGAGGGCCAGGCACCGGAGGAAGGTGAGTGCTGTGTGACGTGAGGCTTCCCCGAAGCATAGCCACGAGTGGCCTTCAAAGACAAAGACATACAGGTGGTGGCTATTGTTTTCGAATTCGGTCAGACCGTTGTATTCTGGGGAGCGGTGGCTCGCGTCTCATCAGCAGAGGTGCCTCACCCTAGAAAACACGGCCGGTACCTTTGTTCCTGAGGGTTGCGCGTGGCTCCGTGACCACGGGGGTATTACAGCACCGTGGGGTTTTCAGCCCGGAGATCTCCATCAGCCTGGGGGGGCTGGGCGATGCTTTATGTTCCGCCCCACGCAGGGGAGCTCAGAGGATAACCCCAGGGGGGCTGTTAGTCAAAAATGGGTGGCCTCAAGACCCAAATCTTTTCCTGCCTGAACCAGCAAGTGTCTAAGTCCCCCCGACACCCAAAAAATTGCTCTCCTAACCGTCTGCTCCTGGGTCTCAACCTGCTCATTCCTAGATAAAAATGGTAAAACCAGTTGACTGGAGCCAGGGCTGGACCTCGCACCAGTCTCCTGCGGTGAGCAGGGCGGCAAGATAAAATGTATTGAATAGATATATGCAGACAGATGAACAGATTTTATTATACTATGCAAAATGCAGCCACTCCTCCGAAAAAGGAGGAGCATTTTATTGAGTATTATTAAAGGAGGAAAGCTGCGTCTCTCTGCCAGCGGGCGCTCAGCACTGCTGCCCTTCGGCGCGTCCCAGCCCCGGGCTCTCGGCCCTTTGGCGTTGGGGCTCCGACCCGGCGGGGGCACAGGGCTCTGCTCCCCGGCACCCCGCAGCCCTCCCGGCATTACACGGCCTCCTGGCTGCAGTAAGTTGGTATTTTCTATATGTCAGCTGCCACATAAATACAAAACCCTTCCTTGGGGAAGAGCAGGTTAACAACCCAGAGGAGCTGTCGCAGCCCTGGCCAAGCCAGTGCTGTCTAATGTAGCTCAAAAAGATGTACGGGCCACGGCCTGTAAACAGGAACTTTGCTTTGATTAAGGAAAGGAACAAATACGTGAACACTTGTCACGGGCAAAATAATATTTCATAGCAACTGCATAGGTTGTGAGAAGGTGAATCATGGTGGAGGCTTTTCCACTTGGAGTTGACATCCATCTTCCAGCTGTGTTGCTTTATGAGTGCACAATAAAACCTATTAAACGATCTTGCATAGCCCCCCCCCCCCCCCCTCCCCAAGCCACGAGCACTTTATCTCTAAATTGCAGGCAGCTTTTTAGTACCTTACCAGTTTAGACTAATTAATACTCAGGACCCCACAGGCAAAATGTGGAATAGACCATTTGTCGCGACACTAAAGCGCCATTTAGCGCAGAGACGTGCGGGACAGCACAAATAGGACATTGCCATCTCAGCCTGGCCGGCCACCTCGGGGGGAGGGACACGTCCCAGGGGGGGCCGTGCCGGGGTGCCCCCGCATCCCTTCCCCTCCTGCCCGGCACGGCGGGCACAGCCAGCCCCCAGCACCGAGCCGCGGGGAGACGGGACCCTCCGCTCCCCTGGCGGGGGGGGTGGTGGTGGTGTCTGCCCTGTGGGGAGGGGGCAGCAACCCCAAAATGGGGCGTTTGAGCCCAGCAGCTCGCCAAGGCCGTGGCCAGAGAGCTTCGGGAAAGGCGGCAGTGCCCTGTGTCAGACGTTTGCCGGCTGTGGGGATGGGGGGGCCGGAGCTGACCTGGTGCCGGGGTGCAGGGGGGGCTGCTGTGCTGCGATTCCCTCCCCGAGGCTCGGCCACGGGCAGCTGCATCGCCTCACCTTTCAAAGGAGGGACGTGGGGGGCTCCGTGGGAAAATTGGTGCAAAAGAGACGGGCATTAAGAGGTTGCAAGGGCGGGCGGCCTTAAGCGGCGAGGTGGGGACTGGAGGAAGCTTTTCTAAAGGCGAGCATCCGCGGGGATGGGGGCTCGGCGCGGGGCACCCCGCAGATGGGCGCTTGGGTGGCCGGGGCTGGGGGCTCAGCAAGAGCGGTGCTGCAGCCGGAGCGGGTGCGGGGGATGCGGGTGGTGCTGAGCCCCTCCTCGCCCGCGCTCCCTCTGTGTTGCTGCAGGGCCGGGCAGCGAGGGGACGTCTGCGGGCAGCGGGGAGCGAGAGCTGGAGGCTGGCGGGGGGGCGGCGGGGACCCCCCCAGCCAGCGGCGACGGGAGAGGGAGCGCAGCCGAGGAGGAGGAGGAGGAGGAGGTGGAGGAGGAGGAGGAGGAGGAGGAAGAGGAGGAGGAGGACACTGAAGAGGATGAAGTTCAGGTGATTGAAATGAAGAAGAACAGCGAGGCGGCCTGTCTAAAGCAGCAAGAGAGCGGCAAGGAGGCATCTCCCCCAGCCAGCCCCCGCTGCAACTCCCAGGTGGAGAAACCGGGGGAGCAGCCCAGCCTGGGGAAAAAAAATGATATCTCCAGACACAGCTATTCCCGATACAACACAATCTCCTACCGGAGGATTAGAAAAGGAAACACCAAACAGCGAATTGATGAATTTGAATCCATGATGCACTTATAAACTGAGGTGGAGAATTGCTTAACAAGCCGAGCGTTCACTCTGGTTTTGGGTTTTCTTTTTTCTTTACCCCAAGACATGTCTCTTCACACAACACGAGGTCCCTGCTTTTTTCCTTTTTGTATATGATTTCATAATACACTGTGAAAATTTAACATCTTCGCTTTGGCAGCAGGCAGAGGCATCCATAGCGCAGGAAAATAAATAATCAGTTTGCTAAATGTAATACCATTTGATTTAAAGTTTATCTTCTTGTTTTCTATCCAACTTTTGTAACTCTGTTCAAACAATAGGATGTCTTGCACTGGCCGGGACTCCTCTCGCTGCTGACACGCGCGGGGGCCATGCCGTCAGCCGTGCTGGCAATGAGTTGCCAGCGCAGCAGCGCGGTGGCACCGGCCAGGGCAGCGTCAGTAATAAAAGAGACGACTGTTTGCAGCCGCAGCGTGCTCTGTCTTGCTGTCCGTCCGCGCCGGCGCCTCCCGCCAGCGACCGGCCCGGGGGACGGCGAGCCACCGGCGCTCGCGGGCAGGTGCTGCTCGGCAGGGATTTAAAAAGACGAGAAGCGTCACGGCCCCCGGCCCCCCGCCGCCGTCCCTAACGCCTCTGGTCGCAGCCCCAGCCGCTGCTGGGGACGAAGCAGCTCCTCTTCCTCCCCGCCCGGCCCAGGGGCAGAGGCAGCCCTGGGGGGTGGTCCCGGGGCCGGCGGCACGGCCGGGCTCTGGGCCAGCCGGGGGGCTGGCCGCGGTTTATCCACTGGGCGTGCAGGTGCCTCGGGGTTCACCTGGCAAAACGGCCACTGCCAGAAACCTGCATTTTCCAACTCTCTCTTACGTGCGTTCTTGACTTTCACGCTAAGCTTAGACGCAAAATGTTACAGAATTTTTTGCCAAAGGCGGGCAAATTTTATGCATAATTTGTTCTTGTGTCAACTGAACACAACCCTTCTCCATTTTTAAAAACTTCCGTGTAACTACAGTATTGTTGATGCAGTCCTTTTTAAACTATTTTACAGGCAGATTTGTTTTGAATCGGGACTAAGCTTTGTAAATGTCATCCCAGAAAGTGCCTGGGAGAGTTGAGCGCAGCCGGCAAAGGGAGAGGAGGGAAGAGCAAGGTGAGGCTCTGACTTCGGCTGCAGCGGCCTCCTTCTGCCGTAAGCGCTTTCTTAAGGATTAGCTTTACATCTCCAGCAGCACTGAATATCGTTTTGACGTTTCTTGTGCTACATAAAGGCAATTATTTATTGGCAACGTGAAAATAATAAACGGCGATTCTGTATTGTACAAACCAGACACAGCCCTCATTGTGCTATTCAGCCTTGTTTGTTCGCTCTTTGGTTTGGGGAAGTTCAGAGGTTTGCTTGTATGAACTTATACTGGGGGTTTGTTTGCGGGCTGGCAGCGGCCCCCCCCCCGGCCCCCCCGCTCCTCTCGCAGGGGTGCCCGTAAGAGCAGCACGTCGCTCGGAGAGACGTGACCCTCGCCCGGCCTTTTCGGTGACTTTGCCGAGGTTTGGGGGTGGCAAAGTGCTGTGGCGCGGGGGAAGGTCCTGGCGCAGCGCAGGCACCCGGTGGGGCGGAACGCCCGAGCTGGAGGGTTTCCCCACGCCCCCCCGGGGCGAGGGGAGCGGGAGCCGGAGAGGCAGCAGCGTTCCGTGGCCCGGCCGGTCGTGACTCCCGTCTGCTCCGGGGAATCGTGTGGCCGAGCCCCCGGTGCCCGTGTGCTGCCCGGCCGGACAGCCCCCTGCTCGCTGCCCGCGCCCCGGGCCCGCTTTAGCAAAAGGCTGATTTTTTCTTTCCCTCCTTTTATCATACGTCTGTCTGTAACAGTTTTTATCATTTGGCCTATACCCTAGGTGACAGTTAAAATAGTTTCCAGACTTTTGGGGCAAGCGCAGGGATGAGACGCTTGGAGGCAGTGGGCTCGGGTTCCAGCTCAGTGTGGAGTCTCGCTGAGACTTTCAGGAAACTTGGTCTAGTTTTTTACTTCTCTTGGAAAGCGGTGCTTGAGCCGCTGAGAACCGCAGCTCCCTCCCTTGCTGTCCTTGGGAGCTGCAGAAATAAAATTCAAAGTCCTGGGATGCTGTAGGAGCCCGAGGGCCTGTCCTGCAAACACCCCAGGTCTCGGCCAGCCCCAGGGTGGGTGGGTGCGGTGTGAACACGGGGGTCTACAGGCACCGAGTGGGCAGGACCCACGGCCTGAGCTTGTCCTCTGTGCCGCAGGCAGCATGCAGGCAGGTTGCAGGCAGGTTGCAGGCAGCATGCAGGCAGTGTGCAGGCAGGTTGCAGGCAGGTTGCAGGCAGCATGCAGGCAGGTTGCAGGCAGTTCACAGGCAGGTTGCAGGCAGCATGCAGGCAGCGTGCAGGCAGGTTGCAGGCAGGTTGCAGGCAGAGTGCAGGCAGAGTGCAGGCAGGTTGCAGGCAGGTTGCAGGCAGATTGCAGGCAGCGTGCAGGCAGGTTGCAGGCAGGTTGCAGGCAGATTGCAGGCAGGTTGCAGGCAGTTCACAGGCAGGTTGCAGGCAGAGTGCAGGCAGAGTGCAGGCAGGTTGCAGGCAGGTTGCAGGCAGATTGCAGGCAGCGTGCAGGCAGGTTGCAGGCAGTTCACAGGCAGAGTGCAGGCAGGTTGCAGGCAGGTTGCAGGCAGCGTGCAGGCAGGTTGCAGGCAGATTGCAGGCAGGTTGCAGGCAGTTCACAGGCAGGTTGCAGGCAGAGTGCAGGCAGAGTGCAGGCAGGTTGCAGGCAGGTTGCAGGCAGATTGCAGGCAGCGTGCAGGCAGGTTGCAGGCAGTTCACAGGCAGAGTGCAGGCAGGTTGCAGGCAGGTTGCAGGCAGCGTGCAGGCAGGTTGCAGGCAGCGTGCAGGCAGGTTGCAGGCAGTTCACAGGCAGGTTGCAGGCAGCGTGCAGGCAGGTTGCAGGCAGCATGCAGGCAGCGTGCAGGCAGGTTGCAGGCAGCGTGCAGGCAGCATGCAGGCAGGTTGCAGGCAGGTTGCAGGCAGCGTGCAGGCAGCATGCAGGCAGGTTGCAGGCAGCGTGCAGGCAGGTTGCAGGCAGGTTGCAGGCAGGTTGCAGGCAGGTTGCAGGCAGGTTGCAGCAGGCAGGTCAGCACCGGAGCCGTTCCGAGGGCCGTGGCACTTCCCACCCGCTGCTGCACGGTGCCGGCCCGGCTCTGGGAGCCGCTCGGGCAGCGCCGTGCGCTGAGCTTGAACGGGAACTAAACCCCTTCGGCGGGGACTTGGCCAGCTGCCCCAACAGCTGCAGCAGCTGCAGGGCACAGCACCCAGCTCCAGCTGCGCCGCTGCCGGCGCCAACGGAGCCCTGGCCGGGCGATGGGAGCACCGCCGGGAACCGGGAGAAATCGGTGGCTTACAGGTTCTTCCTGGGGTGACGCTTTGCAGTTCAGCCTGGCAGTAACTGGGGCAGGACAGCCCCTAGAAATGGTAGAAGTCAGTCAGAAACAGAGTTAACACACAGGGCTCAGAGGAAGAAGCTTCATCTCTTACCATTTATTCCCTTATTTGAAACTTTTTTTTTTTTTTTTCAAACAAAGCAAATGGGCCCTCCAGCCGTGGCCACTCGGATTGAGAGCACTTTGCTGATGGAAGCACAGCACGACCTGCCCCGTGTTTGCTCTCGCCTGGCAAAGCTGCGCCCGCTTCCCAGTGCCGACCCTGGGGACGATGGCCACTCCGTCCCCGGCCCGAGCGCCGGCCCTTCCCACCCGCGCTGCCTTCCTCCCGTTCCTTAACGCTCCCAAAGCCCGCCCGGCCCCAAAACCTCTGGCGCACCCGTCACTGGAGACGGGAAAAGGAGCAGGCAGCGCTCCGGGGACGAGCTGGATGCCCATTGCCACGGCTGCCGAGCGTGCTCGAAAAAAATGCTCTTGTTTCGGGAAGACTGGGCTGACTGGTACAATCTGGACGCTTCTCAACATTGTGTAGCAGCGGCCGCAGCTCGCTGCCAGCACCCCGAAGGCACGGTCTGGTCTTTAAGCAAAAGATACCGCAGTGGAAGTGAGCGTTTACCGGGATGGGGAATCAGTGCACGTGGCAAGCCTGGCGATAGGACGTGAGCGGGGCACACGGCCGTTGGGTGCCTGCTCGGTGACAGGTGATTGAATGTCAGCAAACAGAATTTGATGAAATTCACGCTCCTGATAGAAGATGACTGCACAAACAGCCTCTGCGTCATTTTTCTGATGGTGACTGCAGGCTAGCTGCACTGAAGAGAATCGGGCAGACAGTTGGAACAGAAGGCAACTGGAAGAATCTGTTGGGCCAGTCAGTATTTTGGCAGACTCAGCCTGCCAGCATGATCCACCACGTGAGAGGTAACGTTTTGCCGGGGCCTTCTGAGGAGTCAAAGGAGAGGTTCAAGGGGGTTTGTGAACGCGGGATGGCGGGGGCTGGGCTCGATGCTCAGCCCGGCGCATCGCTGGCAGCTCGTGCCGAAGCCCCTCGCCCCTGCACAGGGCAGTGGGGCAGGAGGGGAAGCGCTGGTGCCCCTGTGACACCGCGGCCGTGGGGGGAGCGGCCCCACAGCCGGGACTGCTGAGCAGAAACGGGGGAAGAAACTCTGCCTGGGATGCACTGGTGTTACCTACCATGGATCTCACCGTCCTGCCACAGCAGAGTTCAGCCTCCTGTCAAATCTGCCCCTTCAAAAGCTGGTGGTGGCTTTTGGAGATAAAAGGCTTCACAGCGAGAGAAAACTTTGCCTGTGACTGAGTTCAGAGGGACTTCAGGTGTGAGGAGCCTGCGTGGCGCCGGGCGAGGGCTCGCCGTGCTGCAGCCACCTCTGCAACGGGCCCTGTGACACGCGCGTGTGTGCACACACACACGTGCGCACACGCACACACACACGTGCACACACGTGCACACACACGTGCACACACACACACGCACACGCACGCTGGTGTCCTGCAGCCCTCTTTGGGGACAAGCCCTGCTGCCCCGCGGGCCGCGCTTGGGGGGTGCGGGATGTCCTGCCGGGGGTCTGTGCCGGCGACGGGGCGAGCAGGCGGCGCTTCCCTTGGGAGAGCGCTCCAGGAGCAGGGCCAGCCGCCCCGCTCGGGGCTGCACCGAGCACCGCCAGGCCCCGGCACCTGCACGGGCTGAGGACAACACCGGTGGTCCCGGGGGAGCCCCCCCAAAGCCACGTCAGCCCCAGGGTGGGGGCGAGGTGCTCCCCGGCTCGCCTTGCCCGCGGCTCCCCTCACCTCCCAGCACACGTGTCCTCGCCGTCCCTGCGCTCGCTGCCTCTTCCACAGCCCCCAGTCTGCCTCGTCTGCTGGGTGCCTTATCGACCCACATTTGCCTCCCATTATTAAAAGGCGGCTTTCTCGATAAGCCATCGATTCCTAACGGAACCCTGATACTCATCTGCCAGAGGCAACGGGTCCCACAGGGCAGGATCCTGTGGCCAGACCCAGCACGGGCATGTCGGATGGATTTTTTTTAATGCATCGGTCAATAAACTTCCATTTTCTGCGGAAGAATAAGCAGCCCGATTTGCTGTTTACAGACTACAGAGCCCTGGAAGTATTTCTGTAGCTTATGCTGGTGTCCTGGGGGAACCGATAAAGGTTTGCTTGCAGTAGGATGGGGAACGTCAGAAAATATTTCCATTTAATAATACAGAAAATTATTTGAGTTTTTTGCCAAAGTCTCCCACAGTGAGGGAAAAACACGCCTATCTGCCTCAGACATCGCTAAACCAGATGTGCTGCTCTTGCTATTCTGGTCTCTCAGTATGCTGGTTTAAATTACGTATTTCAATTATCATTTGGAAATGAACTTCCAGTTCTGTAATTGCTGTCACAAGTCTCACAGATGTCCTTGCTGAATTCACAAGATGACAACACGGCGCTTCTGGTTCAACCGTGTTCCCTTCAGTCCGCGTAGTAATTGCCAAACTGCCACTTCTGGTAAGGATTCGCAGAGTCACAGGCATTCACCCTCGGGGCTTTGTGAGAGGGATCCACTTCCAAGCAGGTGGGCTGCTGGAGGTGCTCCCAGATGATGTGCTGGGTCTGCAGGGGAGACAGAGAGGGCTTCAGGCAGGCCGAGGCTTCGGGGCTGCTGCAGCAACAGCTCCGTTTGCCCTCCGGGAAAGTTTGGTTCTTTATGGTGAGCCCCCTCTTTCACATTTTGCTGACACACAAGATCTCTTTGCTGACTTACAGCGACGCCTGGGTGGGCTCCAGAGCCTGTACCTGCTGCTGAGCCGGGCTCACACCACACCTCCTGCGCGCCCTGCCTTCTCGCTCGCTGGAAGGATTTGTTCCCTCACTGTCCGAGCAGCAATTACCACGCAAAGGAAATCACTCCAGCTGGTACTTGCTACACAGGGGAACGTACAGCAGGAGACCGATTTCTGTACTCTGGAGTTCCTTGGCTGATTAACCCAAAGCACATTTACTGAGCTGAAAAGGATGTTAGGTAATTCGGCACTGAAGTTCAAATGCTGGGGCAGTCAGTGAGAGCCTGAGAGATCCCCACCCTTCTGCTTTTCACATCGCCTGGGCTTTATCTACTTAACCCACGGGGCCAGCGCGGCGATGCCGCAGGTGCCGCCGAAGGGAAGGGAGGTTTCCGTGTCACCGCCAAGCACCGCAGCGTCTCCTGTGAGCAGCCGCTTAAAACCTGGATTAAACACCCCTGCGCCGACACGCGGAGCGTAGTCTGGGCAAGAGCTGGATCTCTGTGCATCCGGTAAACGCACTTCACACCACCAACGCGCCACGGTGCCCGTGGCACCGGGGGAAGGTGACGCGCGGCCGGCGAGCTGCCCTTCACCGCTCCCGCTGCCGGCACCAGGCACGGCGGGTGGAACCACAGCGACCGCGGCTGCTGGTCCCCAGCGAGCCTGTCGGGGCCCGGCCCTTCGGGCGGGCAGCCCCGGCCCCCGCCGTGCCCGGCAGCCTCTGCCAGGACCACCCAGCACACCTCAGGGGGCCCGAGGCGAGCTGTGCCGGCACCCGTAACGCTGCCTGGGCTCCTAAGTGGGTGACGGTTCTCAGGGATTTTTCACAAACACCCCGGCCTTCGCCAGCCTCGGCGTCGCGGCGCTTTGGGTCTCAAAGTTTCAGTTTTTCAGACTAAAGAGGAACGGGAGCTTGTCGATGAGCGTGTAACTTAGCTACATTTTTTCTTTCTTAATTTAAGAGTATTTCTTTTTTAAATAGAAAGGATCCAATTTCATAGCATTTTGGACGACTACTTACACCAGGCTGACAGAGGTGCAGTCGTGACTCTCTTATTTTTTGCAAGAGGAATAAATGCAAGTGCCCGTTCTTTTTCTTTTCGTAAATTCCTCCTTTTGAAAAGGACGGTGAGCCGAGTGCCGGTCGGTATGCAGCCACCTCCCTGCAGGCGCTACCGGCGGTGCCGGCCGCTCGGGCCGACGCGACCCAACGCGCGCCCCTGCTCCCGGGGGGCCCCGCGGGCGAGGGCACGGCCGCGCCCGCATCGTGCCAACCTAACCCGGGGGGCTCGGGGCCGCGGCGGGGGCTGCGCCCCACTCACCAGCTCGGGCTGGAAGGCGGCCAGCGACCGGTGCAGCCAGGCCAGGCTGCGGCTCCCGCCCCGGCAGCGGCGCAGACCCGGCGCTCCCGCGGCGCCCGCCGGGCTGACGCAGAGCTCGCCGTGCTGGATCAGCCTCAGCCAGGTGTAGTTGAACTTCTGGTGCTGTGGGGAGAGACGGGGAGAGCTGGGACCCCCCCGCGCCTCCCCTTGGCCGGGCTGGCTGCGCGGGGATGGCGAGGGCGCCCCGGCAGCGGCTCTCCTCGCCCTCCACCTCCGGGGGAAAGCCGCGATCCATGGGAAGATCTTTCCTGTGGATCTGCAGAGCTAAAAAGCCCAGGAGAGCCCCAGCGCTGGCTCTGGGGGCAGCTCCTGCCGCGGCAGCCCAGACCCCAAACCCAAAGGCTGCATGCTCCTCTGCCCTGCCACCCCCCCGGGGCTGCACGCCAGCGCTGGGGTGCAAATGGATAAACCCCCACCCGTGCCAGACCCCCACCCACGTGCGGGCCCGCGCCAGCGGCGAGCAATCTGCAGGGACTGCCTCAGAAACGCTGCCCGGGATGGAAGGGAAAGCTTGTCTACAGCGGCTGCTTCCCATCGAGCGACAGACTGCGACTCTGTTGCGCAGCAGCACACAAAACCCGGCCTTGTCTCGAAACGGGTCTCCTCATTTTCTCATCGGGTTTATCAAACTTTCCTATTCCAGCTCGGTTTGCTGGCTCTGGGGTTGTTGCTTGCCTGCAGGCTTTGCAAACGAAAGGCAACCCCTGCCCCTCGCTGCTCCCAGGTGTCACCCAGCCGTGTCCCCCGCGGGCACGGGGAGGTGCAGGGGCTCTATGCCATGCACTAAAAACGGCATTACAGAGTCTGCAGGGTATCCTTACCTTGCTGTTAACATCACACTCCTCAAGAGCTAGAGTGGCATTTTCCACAGCGATGCATCTTGCCGAGGCTACGTTAAGAAGCTAGAAAATAGTACCAAAATGCAAATTTAGACATAGATTCCCAAGGAGGAGGAGAGGCTGTTTCACTGCAGTTAGCCTGCTGGGGTCACAGGACACTGATGGCTACTGCCCGCTTCACGGAGCGAAGCAGAGAAGCTGTGGCACAGCCCTCGGAGGGTGTGTAAATGCACATCTGGCCCATTACACCTCTTGCTACCAAGAGAAGCTTGAAACTAGCCATTTCCAGAACCACTGGTCTTCTCTTTGCTCTCCCTCCCTGCAGCCGTCCCTCACCGGTGAGCCGGCACCCCGAAACCTCCGGACCACGCTCTGCCAGCCTGACCCGGTTACGCTCCTCGGCCTCCCAGCCGGCGTGGGACTCGTGGGCGCAAGACGGAGGATTTAATCCAAAATGGACATTTTGGTGGTTTGTGCTCACTGACCCCCCCGGCGCAGGCTTCACCTGCGCTGGAGCACTGGCTCTGCCCGGCTGCCGCCAGCGCAGGGGAAAGGCGGGTTTCTGCTGCGCTCTGCCGGCAGCACAGCACCGCTACAAACCCTGCCTGCGCCTGGCCCTGAGCCCCGAGCCCTGCCTGTGCCTGCTCCTGCTCCTGAGCCCTGCCTGCTCCTGCTCCTGACCCCTGCCTGCTCCTGAGCCCTGCCTGGTCCTGCTCCTGAGTCCTGCCTGCTCCTGGTCCTGAGCCCTGACTGCTTCGGGTCCTGAGCCCTGCCTGTGCCTGGTCCTGCTCCTGAGTCCTGCCTGTGCCTGCTCCTGAGTCCTGCCTGCTCCTGGTCCTGAGCCCTGACTGCTTCGGGTCCTGAGCCCTGAGCACTGCTCCCTGCCTGCTCCTGCTCCTGAGCCCTGCCTGCTCCTGGTCCGAGCCCTGCCTGCTCCTGGTCCTGATCCTGATCCCTGCCTGTGCCTGCTCCTGGTCCTGAGTCCTGCCTGTGCCTGGTCCTGGTCCTGAGCCCTGCCTGCTCCTGGTCTGAGCCCTGAGCCCTGCCTGGTCCTGAGCCCCGAGCCCTGCCTGGTCCTGAGCCCCGAGACCTGCCTGCTCCTGGTCCTGATCCTGAGCCCTGCCTGTGCCTTGTCCTGAGCCCTGCCTGCTCCTGGTCCTGAGCACTGCTCCCTGCCTGCTCCTGGTCCTGAGCCCTGCCTGCTCCTGCTCCTGGTCCTGAGCGCTGCTCCCTGCCTGCTCCTGGTCCTGATCCCTGAGTGCTGCTCCCTGCCTGTGCCTGGTCCTGGTCCTGAGCACTGTTCCCTGCCTGCTCCTGGTCCTGAGCCCTGCCTGTGCCTGGTCCTGGTCCTGATCCTGAGCCCTGCCTGCTCCTGGTCCTGAGCCCTGCCTGTGCCTGGTCCTGGTCCTGAGCCCTGCCTGTGCCTGCTCCTGGTCCTGAGTCCTGAGCCCTGCCTGCTCCTGGTCCTGAGCACTGCCTGTGCCTGCTCCTGGTCCTGAGCCCTGCCTGCTCCTGCTCCTGGTCCTGAGCCCTGCCTGCTCCTGGTCCTGCACACTGAGCCCTGCCTGCACCTGCCTGCGCTGCCCAGGCCCGGCTAACCCCCCCTGCCCCCCCTCCAAGGGCATTTCTCTCTCCTGCCACGGGCAAACCGCCGGGCGGTGGGGAGGGCGCTGGGTCCCGCCCTGGCACCCCCCGGCCGTGGCTGCTGCACGGGCTCAGCTCGGCGGCTGCTTCAACACCGAACCGGCTCTGCGACGGGGAATCGCCCCTCGGAACTGCGGCCTGTTTCTTCATAACAACTGGAAACGTACTTCATGAGGGACAGCAAGTCATTCGGCTACGTACCAGCCCGCTGGCTTTAACCAGGGGAGCTTCCAGGTCCGGGTAGACGTTCTCCAGGTACCACCGGAAACTTTTGCACTGGAGCTTCTTTCGCAGCTGGATTTGTTGAGTGAGGTTGCCGACATCCAGGTTTTTCAAGACTAAGTGGTAAGCGTGGCCGTAGAATAACTCCTTGTACTCATCCAGCCAGACCTCCGCAACACGGGCCAAGTTCCTCTCCACTGTCCTCACCCGATCTTTCGGGAAGGAATAAGGATTGTCGTTCCTGAAAATGTGCCCAACTCTGGAGCACGGAACAATCTCAATCTCTCCTCCACACATCCAGACCTGAGAAACAGAGGTTGCTTTGATGGAAACACGGGCAAGTGTTGGGTGTTGGCTTTGTGCAAGCCAGAAAAGAAGCAGAGGAGTAAGTGGACTGCCCGGAGGGACGGGATGTCCAGCACGGGGCTGCCCCAGGGGCCCCCGGCTGAGCCCCATCACCCAAGCCAGGCTGGCACGGGTGCAGGCGTGCGGCACAGGCTGCCAAGAGCGACGTACCTTGAATGAAATCTCCATATTTTCACCTCCCCAGACATCCAGTCCTGGGTCGTATGTTCCCAGCTCAAAAAAGTACTTTTTATCGATGGAAAACAGCCCACCTGCCATGACTGGGCACCTGGGAACAGAGAAGCCACACGGCACGTCAGCCGCCCGGGAAGCGCCGTCCCCTTCCCCTCGCCCGGGTGAGGGAATCCTTGCGAGGCTGCGGGCTAAATGCTGGGGGACGGGGACGGAGCCTTCACTTACAGAGACAGCACGGACCACCCGGTCTGGCACTTCGCCGCGGGCTGACAGATGCAACGGTAAAACAGATGGTATTTGGGTGGTTTTACCCAGGCTGAAAGCCGTCACGGGGCATGGGAGGGAAACATGCAACGGTACGTCCCCCCGAAATGCCGGCGGTACAGTGAGGGGTGAGCCGAGCCCACGTCTGGGGAGGTCACTGCCCACCGTGACCACTGCCTCTGCCGTCCGTACGAGCAAAGGAACATTTGGCCCGGAAGGGGCCTTTGTTCCTAAATTATTAGCAGTTTGGCTCACAGCGCTCTCATCTTTTTTTTTTACCTTATTATATCAGTTTCCTTGATGTTATTTTTCTCAATGACCTCTTGTGGAATCTGCTTCCATCCAAAATTCATCGGCCAAGTGAAAATCCCACGCTGAAAGTTGTCCACGGTCATGTAACTAAACAGGGAAAAGATCAGGATGAGTAATTCTGAGTCACATTCCTGATTGAAATGTCAACCTTAATGAGTGAAGATGATATCTGTACATAATCAAAACGGGACTTTAGCGGGTTTCATCAGGAATCCTCTTCGCGTGCCAGAAGTCACGAAAAAGGGAAGAGGTGTGTGTGATAAATGGGGGCGCCACGTCCACTGCTAATGGCAATTCCTGGTGCAGAGCGACGTGAGGGCCCCCCGCTAAGGCCGGTTCGGGGGCCCGGCCCTGCGCCACGGAGAGGCCGTGCGCGAGGCGCCGGCACGGCCCCGGGGGTTCCGCGGGGGCGCGCGCCGCCTCACCTCATGTCCCTGTCGCTGATGACCTCGATGACGGGGCAGGCCACCTTGGCCCGGCTCAGGCGGACCCTCTCCAGCAGCGGCTCCAGCCACCCCACGTTGCACTCCACGTGCGAGTCCAGGAACGTCAGGACGGCGCCTGCGGCGGGGGCCGGGGCGGCATCAGGCCTCGGGCAACCCCGGCCCCCCGCCACGCCGAGGGGGGGCCCAGACCTGGCTGTAAAGCAGCCCCCATCCTACCTTTGGCCACCTCCGCTCCCGCCAGCCTGGCCCGGATCAGGCCATGCCTCTCCTTGAGGCGGAGGATCTTCACCTTTGGGAACCGCGACATGTATCTGTCCAGCTTCTCCTTGAGGTATTCTGCAGAGGAGGAGGAGGAGAGGCTGACTTACGCGTTTCACACCCGCTTCCAGGGTGAAAAGCAGCGGGCGGATTTTCCCTGGCGGCATCTCCAGGCACACCAGGGTCTGGGGGGGGGGGCGAACATCTGGGCGCAGCTGCGGTGCACGAGCCTGCCCTCCGGCGAAGCCCCCCGCCGTCTCGGGCTGACGCTGAGGAGCACAACCATCTCTGCTGGAGCCGCCTCCCCCCGCGCTCTGCGACGGCTCGGGGTTCGGTGCCGGGGGGTCGCCACGGGCTGCCCGGGCTCTGGCCCCCCCAAAGGAGGGCCCGCGGGTGCTGGCACCATCCCCTGCTCCCCGCATCAGCACAAACCCCGCCGACGCAGCAAAGGGGGACCCGCACCTGGTGCCGGGTGATCGCTGCACATAGGAGACACAGAAAGGGGAGGGCAGCCAGTGCGGGGCTCTTGGAGACAGGCCATGAGCAAATCCCCAGTGGCCTCACTTGGGTGGTTCGCGATCCACACCAGGCACCGAACAATTGTTCCAAGACTCCAAAATGATTTTTTTTTTCCTTCATTGCACTATAATTTCAGTTAAGATCTTGTTGTGAATTGTTCTTCCTTGCCTAAAAAAATATTTTTTTTGTGCTCTACAAACTTCTCGACATGAAGCACCACACCTAACGACCCAGCGCGGGTTTAAACTGCACGAGGGTTTGCTGTGGCACATCCCTCCTTCTCAGGTTGCTTTTCTCATGGATCCCCGTGGCTGCGGAGGCAGCTGGTGGTAAACTCTCCGGATAAAGAAGGTGTGAGAAAGGTGGCTGGGGGGGACTAGAGAGCCGGGCTGCCCCGTTCGTGGGCAGTTTCCCTCTGGCAGAGGAGCCCACGAGCCTCTGCTGCGGTGCTGCGGCCGCTGCTCCAAGCACTGCATTTGGAAACAGCCACCCACTGACATCCTTCCCTCCGAGGGGCTTCACTGATACTCTGCTTCTCTCCAGGACAAGGTAACCGCTTGCATTTCAAAAGCCAGTTAAAAGCTTTGAAAGGCTCCGAAGGTGAAACATTTGTGGGCACGTTTGCTGCAGGTTACTGCTGCTGCAGCTTGGGTTACAGCAACGCCGAGCACCAAGCTCCGCCGGCCGTAATTCACCCACACCCGGGAGGTTTTGGTTGCAAACCCAGTGCTTCAGGTGTTCGCTGGCTAAGGAGCAGAGACAAAGGGAAGCCACAGGGAGATAGGAAACTTGAAAAAATGCTTTTGAGGGAAAACGGTATGAACACGTTTGAATGATTATTTTAAAAATGAGCAAACTGAGGCTCTTTTCTCTTCTTTGCACCTACTGCCTCGTTGCATTGTAGGCTCGTGGCAAGCGTGGCATGAGCTGTGAAGTTTGTGTGAGACAGCACCTTCCCTGAAGAACCAGCACTCGGAAAATTACATCATTCCTGAATTTTTAAGAGCCAAAGCGTTACAAAGTGGAGGTCCCATGCCACCCGCAACGCCTGAGCACGCAGGCACAGCCGCTGCGCACACGCCGGTGCCCGGCTCTCCGCTTTTTTTTTCAGTAGGACCGAGCTCCCCGGTGCCCCCGGCCTCCGGCACGCGTGCGAAGCAGCGCACGGCCAGCGTAAACTCAGCGACGGGCAGCTGCTTCCGTGAGCTGGGATGGGAGAGGCTGAGTGAGCGATAAAGTCTGGCAGGGTGTCAGGAGAGAGCCGCGGCTCGCTCCACCACAGCCACCCCCCGGTGCCCATCTGGCCGCCGATCCCCCTCATCTGGAAGGACAGCAGCGCGCTGGGGACGCGCTTCAATACATCAAAAGGAGAAAATGCAATTTCTCTCTACTCTTCCGAATTGAATTACAGCGTACAAATTGCATTTTGGCCTCAAGTTATATCAGTTTCATAAAGGTAGAAGAAGCTGCACCTACCTTTAGTGCTGAAGTCGTCCACCAAAATGACTTCTTCAATCAGATGCGGAGGGGATCTGCTGAGGACGCTGTGAACGGAGCGGAGGAGGGTGGACCAAACTTCGTCCACGAAGCACATGATGATGGTGGTGGTCGGGAGGTCGTCGTGAACCCGCTGCTCGGAGCACCTGCAACAGCAACAGGGGCTCACAGGCCATGGCCAGCTGCGCTCCTGAAAATCTCCAGGCTGCGGGTTTTCTGGGAAAGCGCGCAGGGAGGGGGGAAATGCCAAATGTGAAATATGGCAGCAAACCCCTGAGATGGGATTTTGTCAGGAGAGGGAGCAGAGGGGTGAGCAGAGGGGGGGGGGGATGACATGACAGTCCCCACCCAGCCCCAGGGCCCCTCTCCTGAGCAGCCCCAAGGGACGGGATGTGTTCACTCCTTTCTAACAGGGACCTCTTTTTAACTCCCTACCCCCGGGCCGTAACACCTCCTCTCCACGAGCAAAGAGTGCAACGGCCACAGCCAGGCTGGTCCCAGCCCTGCACCGCTGCTCGCCGGGACTCCTGCGGGGAAAGGATCCCGCGATGCTCCGAGCACCCCCGGGACTTGGGATCCCGGGCTGCGTGAAACAACCTCGTCGAAAGAAAAGAATCGGTATTATGTTCAAAAAGCAAGGAAACAGCCGTTTATTTCCACGAAGGGTCACTCGGCACAGCGGCTTGTCGAGCACGCGGACAGCGAGGAAGCGTCGCCCAGTCGAACTTCTGCACCTCGCTCCGGGAGTCACGGAGGATTGGAAAACATTCAAGCGTCCAAATTTCTTCTACGAAGGTCCCGGCGGGTCCCCTCCCTGAGTGCCCTGTGCCTCACGCCCTGGGCACCCCCAGCTCCCCAGGGCCACCCCGTGCCCGAGCCCCGAGCGACGCCTGCCTCCCTCGCCAACAGCCAGCGGCGCGCACCCGCGGACCCGGGCAGTGAGAAGCTTCCTCCCGTGTCTACGGCTTTGTCCCTTCATCCTGTGACAGCCAAAACCGCGACGGCTGGGTCAGGCCTCTGTCTTCAGTGTTCGAACAAAAGCTCGACCAGCAGCTTTGCCCGTCTGCCGTTTGCAATTCAAGCGGGGCTTTGCTGCGAGCCCGGGGGAGCGGGGGGCTCCCTCCACTCTCCTATCCCCGAGTGGATCGCCAGGCCTGCGGGACACGCGCTCCTCTCCCCCAGCCTGCCTGGTTTACCCCAGAACAGCCACGAGTTGCTGGGACTTGCTTTCTCTCTCTTGTCAGTAAGCTGCAGCCTGCTAGCAGGTTTTTCTCTCTTGTCCTCCCAGAGCAGACCTCCTGCAGGCAGGACAGGCACCAGCCTATCTGCAGGTGGAGAAAATTAATTTCTCAGTGATGACTCAAAACAGGCAGAAAACAGGGACAGGTACATGGGAGCGTACGGAAAAATAACTTCTTTCTTTTTCTTCTGTCTCAGTGCACGGGCCCTCGGGTTTGGCTGGTGTTGGGTCAGATGCTGATGCCAGGGCAGCGCACAGCTCAGACCATGTGGCGCCTTGAAGAAAATTCAAAGCATTTCAGGTCTTCACAGCTGATCGGAAGTGTTCTGGGTAAGTGAAAATAACCCCAGAGTTACTCTCTGTTGCAATCCTTGGGACGTGTCTTTCCTTCTCCTTCCATAGCCTGGCTCAGGTCGGGCAGCGGGCAGGGCTGGCGCAGCGGGGGGGGGACGTGCTGTTCGAAATGGGCTGGTTGGGCACCACAGGGGTGCTGGCCCCTGGCAACGGGACCTCTCTGCGGCGCGGGTTGGGCATGCTGGTGGGACTCCGAGAGAAGGCAGGGGCTGAACTTGCCGCTTGCAAGAAGTAGACAGGACGAGGGACAGCTAAACTAGGAGAAAAGAGGTGAACTGTAGCTGCTACAGCGAACCCAAGGAGGCAGCTCACGGCGGGAGGAGGGACAGAGGCCATGGATAAGGCAGGAGACGGCTGCTGAGCACCACACCTTTCATTGCACCGAGAGAGGGATGTGAGAGAAGCTGAGAAAAAGCAGCCGAGACCCAAGCCGTGAAGGCTGCGTGCGGCCAGGCAGCACCAGCCATGAGGACTCTTCTCTTTCGCCCCTTCGTTCGCAGCACATGGCTCCTGGCCAAAGCCGGAGTGTGCCTGGGGCAGCTGGAAAGCATCCGTGCGAGGGCGATGGGAAACCTCAAACTGGGGAACATCTTCTCCCTTCTTGCCTAAAAAAGTACAATTTCTAGGCAGAGTGCAATGGGTTTGTTATTGTTGACCCCCAGCTAAAAATATTGCACAATGTCCTGTGTGAGTTATCTTTGCTAACTATATACGTATATGTACATACATATATTTTTTGAGATATATGCGTATGTAATACTTAATATATATAACCAGTATTAAGTAAAAGTCAAATCCTTTTGAAATTCCACCTCAAAATAGGCCTTTAAACAAAACCAGCCCACAGCTGTTACGTTCTGTCGACATCACCCTGAAAGCCAGCAGAACATCGGTTCTTAAGCTGCTAAAGTTGCTTTGGGAAAACGTCACCTCAGATCCGCTGCCCCCGAGCTAACCAACCCAGACTGCACCGTGTCACGCAGCAGGCGATGGTTTTTTTGCCGGGCCAGGAAATCCGGGTCTCTGTCTAAACCCAGATAACCCGAGTGTCCTGGAGAAGCTACGACGGCAGCCTGGGCACCGCTCAGAGGCCGCCGGGACCTTTGCTGCCGGCGCTGGGGCGCAGGGCCCCCGACCCGGGCTCTGCTGGGGGTGCTTCCTGCAAGCCCCCTGGCCACCCCCCGGCCCCCACCCGCCCAGCTTGGGCACCTCGCTCCGCTGTGGTGGGACTCCTGCACGCAGCTTGGCAGGGCCACGGGGCTCGGCAAGCACCGGCACGGCAAGAAAAGCTTGGAAAGCAGCGCGCATTGCAAACAGACAGGCGGGTTGAAGGCTCTGGCAGGACAGGTTTCCCGTTGGCCAAATCTCAGTGGTCTAGTCCAGCCCTCCAGCAAGCATCAGGAGAGAAACTGGGGTCTAAGCCGGGAGAGGCTGGAAGGATCCAGCAAAAAAGTAACGTGCCGTTAGATCGCCGAGAGCTGCCAACAGCCGTTGCCGCGAGCTGGTCCTTACGGCCCCATTTCTGCTGTGCCAAGAGCCCGCGCGGGCTCCTGCCAGGGCCGGGGTGCCCAGGGGACCCCCCTTAGCCCCGTGCCCCACGTCCCCGGGCAGCGCCGGCAGGGACACAACCCTTTTTGGCCAAGGCGTTCCCGGTGACGCGCAGAGGGTGATGCCGTCACCTCCCGGGCGGGAGCGCGGCTCACCGGCGGCAGCCGGCGCTTGCGGGCGCTGCGGGGAGGCGGTTTCTGCTCCGCAGCTCCAGGGCTTCGCTGTCAAAGAGCAAACCACGGCGCTGTGCACTGTCCTGTGGGCTGGGGGACAAATCAGGGCACCACTCCCGTCCCCCCGGGGCCGTGGTCTGCGAGCGTGGGAAGAGGGGCACGGGAAGGTCTCTGCGCCGGGCAGGTCTCTCACCTACCAAGGGGCCGAGAGACGTTTGCAGCAGGAAAACCTGACTATACGAGACAAACCTGAACCTCCCTGCAGCTTGGCTGCTCCAGAGAGGGACCCTCCGTCCCTGTCCCCCTTCCGTCAGCAAGGCGCTGCCCACACCTCACCCTTTGCTTTTCCACGGGGACTATGGGAGGGAGCGTCTTATTTGAAGTGCAATGCTGAGATCGGCAGCCCCAGCCGCGCATTTCGTGGGGCCAGCTGCAACTGAACCACAGTTTCCTGAACTAAACCTCCGCGTCCCTCCTCGTGGGTGCCCCCCCCGGCCCGGGTACCGACCGCAGCGCTCCAAATGCACCAACACAGACACCAAACAGGGCTCAGCCTGATGAAAAAACGCTTTAAGGCGCGAAGAGGCCTGAGCCCCACGGCCCCCCCCCCTGTGCCCCAGCCCCTTTGCATGGCAGGGCTCTGCAGGGTAAGACGAGCCGCAGACCTTACCCCAGTTTTACGTTCAATAACGTTAAGGCAAAAGCCGCCTCATGGCTAGCAGGCACGGGGCAGAGGCCTCGGCGCACCCAGCCGCCCTCCCCGGAGCCACCGAGCAGGTTCCCAGGGGTGCAGGTGTTTGTGCAAGGGAAGCAGATCTTACCCGGCAGGCCTGGTGTCTGCTATGGCTCTGTCTACGGGGATCAAATCGCTGAGGTAGACGTTAAAGTTTCCTTCTTTCCATCGACTCTTTGCTTCTTCTTGTTTCTCGGCAGGGACTGCGGCAGGGCGCCCAAACTGGCCGGGAGCCCGGGGGTCTCTCGGGGCAAGCGTTGCATCCACGGACAAGACCCTGTGGGTTCCCGGGACGCCGCCTGGCCGCTCCTGCCCGTCGCTGCCCGTGGCCGGTGACCCGGGAGCTGCTCCCCGCGTCGTGCCCAGCGCCCAGCTCCAGCCGCCCGGCGCCGCAGCCCCGCCGACGGCGTTGGCGGCGCGGGCGCCGTCCCCGGCGCCGTTCGCGCGTCGCCCTTCTCGGCGCTTCGCCAGGTGCCCCGCGGAGTCGGGCTGGCGGGGGTTTACCCCCTCTTCGCTGCTAAGAACGAAGCGCTTTTCGGGGGGAGTCCCCTTCTCCCCCGCGCCCAGCCCCGCCGCCCGGGGTGCCAGGCCGGCCCCTCGCTGCCGGCTCCCGTTGGCGGCGAGTCCGGGTCCCTCGGCCGCCGCGCCCCCCAGCCCGGCCCGCCGTGCGGGCTCGCTGCCCGGGGGGGGCTCGGCGGGGTGCAGCCGGGGCTCCGGGGGGGTCGCCCGCCGCCCCGCGCCCCGCGTTACCCGCTGCTCCGCTGCCTTCGACGGGGCTCCGCTCGGCGCCGCCGCGCCCCCCCGCCTCGAGGCGGCCACCTCGAGGGCCAGCCGAGCCCCGGGGGGGGCGGCGGGGCGCTGCCCGGGGCCGGGCGGCGGCGGCGGGGCGGGGGGGGGGTCCCGGCGGGCCCCCCGCGTCCCCGCGCCCCTGCGGCGGCCGCGGCGGGGCCCGGGGGGGTCGGGGCGGGGGGTGCCCGGCGGCGGCTCGGGGTCGCCCCGCAGCCCCGCCCGCTGCTGCCCGCGGCCCGGCCCGCGCCCCGCCGCCTCCTTCAGCGGCCGCCCGCCCGCCTCGCCCGGGGAGAGCCGGAGCGCGGCCATGTCGAGGAGCAGCCACACGACCGAGGCGGCGAGGACGAACGCCAGCGCCCGGCCGCTGCCGCGGAACAGCCGCCGCAGCCCGTTCATCCCCGGGGCGGGGGGGGGGGGGGGGCAGCCCCGCCGCCGCTCGCCGGGCCCGCAGCGGGGGAGGCGGCCGGGGGCCGCCGTTGTTCTCGCCCCACCCCACCGCCCGCAGCTGTAACCCAACACCCGGCGCGGCCTCCCCCCTCCCCGGGGCGCCGGGCCGGGCTTGGGGGGGGGCGGGAGTGAGGACGGTCGTTGCGCGGGATGCCGGCGGCGTGGGTGTCCGTGGTTTATTGAGCCTCCCCCGCTGAGGGCGTGGGGGGTTTTCCCACGCACCCACGCCGGTTGCAGGGCGCAGGAGGAGCCGGGGACCCCCTCCACCCCCAGGCGTCAGCACCGGGGAGCGGGGACCCCCGCGGCCCCCCACGGTGTCCGGGCGGCGGGAGCGGTCCGTGGGCGTGGGGGGTGGTCGCGGCGAGCTCCGCATGCGGGGGGCAACCGCCCAACACCCCCGTGACGCGACCGCAGCGGCGGAGCAGACCCACGGCTCGGGGGACTCTGCTGTCCCGGCACTGCCGGGGGGGCTGGCGGCACGGAGCCGGGCCCCACGGCCCCACGGCCCCAGTGCAGGAGTGGGGGGACGGTGGCACTCGGCCTGGCGTCCTCTGCACGGTCACATTAAAGAGCTGCGAGGGCTGTTGTGACACGGGGGCATCAGCTGTGGAAACTCGGGGTACGGGCACTGAAGGGAGAGAGGGAAAAAAGCTGAGCTGGTCAGAATTTTGCAGCTCTCTCAAACTCTGGTATTAATAAATTTAAAAGGAATGTACGTTATCCCAAATAACAAAGCAGAATGTTTTTTTTTTAAACTAAAGGGCTCCAAACCAATGCGGTGCATATGAATATTGAAGAGAAATGAGTGGAAAAAACCCGATGTTCATACTTTAAAAGAATAGTCATTTCAAAGTCCAGCCCGTGGTAATATTATGAGATGAAAAACAAAAGAAATGGCAGTTGCGTTGTTTTTCCAAGGCTTTTCTTTGTAAAGCAAACTGCCCTCAGTCAGACGTGGCAGGCAGTTCTGATTTCAGCAGGGTTTGCCTGCGTGGACGGTGCATGCTCAAGGACTGTCGGAGTGCAGGCTAAGATTGCAAGAGGGCTGTTAAAAGGGGAAAAAAATCGAGTAGCTGTATGAGAGTAAGGAAGCTTGGAGTCAAGATTAAACTTAATGCATTCAGTTTAGAAATCCCAGTTTAAGGTAAACCACGGACTGGGGGTTCATTCTCCGTGCTGGCACTCTGTTTTTTCATTTCTGTTTGGGTTTCCGTCCTTGCGGTTCCTGGCGGGCTCCGGATCTGGGCTCGGGGGGCGCGACCCCCCGGGTGCTGTGCGGGGCCGCGCCGGCGGTGCTGAGCCCCCGGGCCCCGCGGGTTCCTCGCCCGGGCAGCCTTCTCCCCGTAGCTGGGCACAGCGCCGCAGGGCCAGCCCCGCGCCGGGCGGGGAGAGGCCCGGGCGTTCCGCCAAGCTCCGGCCTCTCCCTTACGAGTTACGCCAAAGCCATCGCTGCTTCGGTATGGTCAGGCACTCCCTCTGCTAGCTCCGCGCTTTGGCTCTCCTCCCTGGCAAGTGTAAATGTTCCAGATAGCTGAACAGATTCCTTGACACAAGACAGCTGCTTTTGCAGGGAGAGATTAATTTAATCAAGGCTACTCCATCATTAAAGTGATCTGAAGTGTCAGATGGAGAAGCACAGAAGCAAGCTAACTTGAAGATGAAAACGTTTTTTCCAGCCAGAAGTATCCCAGAAGATGAGGTAACATTGTAATAAATCACTCTGGGTTTCCATATAATACTTTAGGAATGTAAAAAAAAAAATGTTGTCCAAAGAGAAGTGAAGGAATGATCTCTTGCTAAAGCCTGGCTGACTCGATAAATTGTATGTCTTCTCTGGAGCATAAGAGACCGTGCAGTAGAAGACAACACAGTGGTCCACAAAGGGCAAGATTAGACACGTGTGGTCGCCCCTACCGTGGAGAGTACAAGGGCCCTTTTGGCTGACAACAACAGAAAACGGTGCAAACAGGTATCACAAAAAGCCATCAAGCTCCCCCTCTTCCATAAGGCAGGATCTGCTGTATCTTGATTACTTAATTGCTTCTCCATCATAGAGCACCCCGGTGTACTCCTCATGGCTATGGACACGTTAAGCAGATCAGGGTGAAAAAGACATTTGTTTAAAGGAACCTGCTCCGTGCATAGAAGGGGACAGCAGCAAAGCAGAAATATTTAAGCATGAATGCAAACAGAACTAGACCCAACAAGTAAAGATCTTCCTCAAAAACTGGTATATGTATTTGTGTGTACGTGTATGAAGCTGAACCTACGAATATAGCGAAGGTGATGCTAGAAACGATGTACCTTTAACCTGTGGGAGAACCTGCCAGAAGAGCAGGATGCCTTTCCTTGCTGTCACTGCAGCCGTGCGCGGGGCTGTGCTTTGCCGGGGAGGGGGGCCCGTGGCGCCGGGGTGTTTCTGCCGGGTTCTGGGAGCGTGGAGGGGGGGACGTCCCCGTGGGGCCAGGCCTGCGAGCCCAGCTGTGTCCCCGCGGCCGGGGCAGGTTTGGCTGGGCAACGCCTGGTCACGGCTGCAGTAGCTCAGGCTGCTCCATCGTCGGGTGCTTGAGGGCTGCCCACCGCCAACAGAAGCTATTTTAAATGAAGTACAGCCCAGTAGGTTAGATCTTCCTTATTTGACTTTTCACTAACTTTAACGCTTCCCTCCTGAGCACAGCAGCGCCAAGCTGTCTGCAGCCTGGCGTGATGTTCAGGAGAAATCTGGCAAATGATCCTTAATGAAAGCAAAAGGTACAAAACTGGGAAATCCTGACGGGAAAACAAGTGAGGAGGGGAGAAGAGAGCCCAGAGAAGAGCTGCATGGGCTGTCGCAGGTTAGCAGCCCGGCATGCCTCCCTGCGCTGCAGGCACCGAGGTGTCCGTCGTGTCGAGGTGGTTAAAATGTCACCAGGTCTGTCACCCTCCGGCTGGGACACTCCGTGCCTGTGGCAGGAGTTAGGAGAGGACTTCTGCCCGCAAAACTCTGGTCTCAGCTGCGACCGTGCTGCTGGACTCCCCGCGGGCAGGGCTGTGCCCCGTCGGCCCTTCCGAGCTGCGAGAGCTTCTCCGCAGCCCGCGAGGCAGCTCCTTCCCCTCTCGCCCAGGGCCCCGGGCATCTCGAACGGGGCAGCTCTCAGCGCGCGGGCTCTTCCCGCTTAGTTCGCATCACATCCTCGTCCACGTGCCCGGCGAGGAAACCATGTTTTTGTTTCTGAAATACAGCCATACCTACCAAACGTTAATAAACTAAAATACTAGGAAATTATTTGTGAATGATTTGTTCACTAAGTTCCGTTAGATACCAATTATATCAAGAGTGATATGATAAATCCCCCTCTCTCTGTCTGTGTGACCTCTCTGAGGTCCTGCTGGCTTTTGAATCTGCTAATTGACCTCGGTTGAATTTGACAGGAATATGATGTTAAGCACCCAAGCGGAGGAAGGAAACTCCCAGCTCAGCGCCCCGCTGAAGGGAAAGGAGAGTGCTCAGCTGCTACACGAGATATCGGAGGTCCCCCGCCGGCGGGGATGGACGCACAGACGCCGGCTGTCCTTCCCCGGGAGAGGCTGGCCAGGCGCAGCCGGGGACCGCGGCCACCACGACTCGTTCCATCGCTTCCCAGAGTCTCAGTTAATAACGCAAAGAGTTCCCACAAAACCTTGGTTCTGCCTGTCAGGTATTTTGCGCGGCTGGGGATACGTTTTTTCGCCCGTTTGCTGCCCGTGCTGAGGGCGTGTTGCCACGCAGCGCCGCAGAAGCTCTCGGGCGTCGCAGCCTTCGGCCAGCCCGAGCCGGCGCGTGTTTGCCGCCCTGGGCAGCACCGCAGGTGCCCAGACCCCGGACCCGGAGCCCCCGCGGTTTGCCAGGCGAGCCCTGGCAAGCGCTAGCCCTGCGGCGGGGGGCAGAGCCGGTTCTCGGTGCCTCCGGAAATGTTTGTGCTGCAGAAACAAACGTCGGCCATCCGCGTAGCTGAGAGCCTGCTCCCCGGCGCAAGCCACACCTTTCCATGCAAACACTCTCCGGATAAAAGTTGTTAATGCAGTGAAGTAGTAGGTGTGTGCGCTGTATAAACACAGATGCGTCCTACAGAATGTTGGCAAATCGCAGAGAAGCCTCAAAACTTGAATTAAGCCCCGGTGCTCGTGTAAGTGTCGAGGGGGTAGCTTCACCTTCACCGTGCATTTTGTGGACGGTCTGGTCCAGAAGTTACTGACTGTAACCTCCGTGCTGGGACATCTTATTTCTCTGACTATGGAGATTCAGTCAGTAAAAACTTAGCAAACGCTGAATTTAGAATCCCCTGGCAGTTCATCTGTACTGCCAGGGTATTTAGCGATTTTCTTAAAGTCTCCACACACAGCAATTATATGGTCAGATGAGAATAGAAACTTTGGCTTTGAAATAAAAGTTTATAGTCGTGTTCCGCAGGAAAACCGCAAAGCTGTAGTTGTAGAAAACTGGGAAATACTGGGCAATTGTATGCTAGACGCTTAAAAATCTGAAGGTTAAGAAACTAAAGTTTACACTTCTATTCTGAAAGGTTCCCAGATTTTTAAACTGACATCATTGTTCTGGGGGTGGGGTGATTTTCAGTGCCTGATGGCGGCAAAGCTCTATTTTCAGATGGCTGTTTGCACAGAGTATGATTGAGAGCAGCTTTCCCCCAAACGGAGCTGGTTACGTAATAAAAGATTAGAATAGCCATGCATGTTTATTCTTTGTTATAAATAGCGACCGAGATTGAGCGTGGCTCTGGCGACGCAGGCCGCTGGCGGGTGACACGCTGGGGGTGCCCGCGGGTTCCCCCCCCGGGGGGGAGCGCGCCGGAGCGCGTTCGTTCCCCGGGACTGGGATGCCAATAGCAGCGGGGCTCCGTAGTTTGCATAGAGGTCATGTTTTGCTAATACGTGTCTTGTAGAAGCAAACAGCGTGTAAAAGAGGAGAGTTAAAACCTGACCCAGCAATGTTTTTAAATTTCAAATTACGCATAAAGTATGCATTAAATTAATTAGGGAATTCATTAAGAAGAGAAGAGTAAAGAAACTAGTTAGCAGTGTGCAACATATAGTGATGTAAGCCATTTTCTATAATTGTTATATATAATTTGTCTCATAACATTATCCTTTGATAAATTATTGCAGCATAATATGATATATGTAGCTTATTAACAGTTTCATTAATTACTATTAGAGCAAAGACTCTGAAATCTGGTACCCATAAGAACAAATGTTGAAGCAGATGGTTGAAATCAGTGAAACGCAATCGGTTGCTGAACCCTTTTACCTAATTACATTATTACATCAAAATAGTTAAACTAAATTTGTCAAGTTGTCGGCGAAGCGCTGGGATGTTTGGAGCCGCCGCTGTGGTGTGGGGATCAACCCCGGACCCCAGCTCCCTGTGGGGCACAGGGACCTTCCCGATGTCCTCCACCCGCATCCCGGGTTGGCTTCCTCCTCCTCCTCCTCCTCCTCCTCGCCCCGAAGAGCACCGTTTCCCGCACCCTTCCTTGTGCTGAAGTGAAAGCAGCTTTTGCATCACCTGGCAGTGCCAATACAAAATGGGTTTGTAGCCTCTTTGTCCCATCCATAGCACACTGCTGGGTTTCTTCCTCTTATTGACATAACCCTGACGTTTCTTTTTTTTTTGGATCAGGAGCCATAAAGGAAGTTTGGAAGATAAACCCAAACCCAGGTGTTAGACAAACAGTGCCTAGGTCTGTTGGGGTACTTAAAGTGAAAGCCTTGAGCCATCAACTCAGACAGGACAGGCACCTGCATTAGTGTTTGCTGTGAGCTAGAAAGCTTCACTGACGGCCCTTCATGCAAAAATTTGTATAAATAGGTTAAACGTACAGCAGGTGAAAGTAAGGCGAGGTGAGGAATCCAGTGTGGCATTAATGCACTGAATATACTTTGTTCCTGCATGTCCCAGACACCAAACCCACAGTCCATTTCTGCTGGTGTAAACAGATTTGCCGCACCACTTTGTTTAAGCTTCCTAAATTCTTTCCTTTTATACCTAAAGCCAAAGAAATACGAAACACGTAACTGTCCTGTGTCCTCACTGCCCAGCTGTCTTGGGGTAACACCCCTGGGAGGGTGCCCTTCCTCTTCCCCCAGCTAAAGCGTAACCCTGGCTCTAATCTCCTGGGGTTTCTCTTGGGTGAGGGCCAGCCTCTCCTCGGCCTGAGCAGCAGAGCTTCCCGGAGGCGGAGCGGTACCTTCTGCAGGGGGTTTTGACACTTCAGCAACTTGGAGCTCAAATTATTATCAAAAGTGTCCAAATGTGCAAGAAAATTCCAGAAAAAAAGAATCACTTAGAATCACTTCAAAATAGGGTATTTGATACAACAGGTATAAGAGAAATTACTTCAGAATTATTAGAGGAGGCAATTTAGAAAAGAAACAACGTTGGAACAACACCATGAGCATGTGAATTTTGATAGGACCGTTTTTGTCTTATTTCTCTCCATTTTAGCAAAGGTGCACAAATTCTGAAGGACAGGGTGGGCCCTGCTCCCCACCTCTCCATCCCACCCACTGCAACACCTTTCCTGGGCTATTCCCACCCCAGCCCACCAGTTAGGGCAAGCCAGTCTTACCCCAACCTCCCAGCAGCCTCCTGTTACACTCCTGGGGGGGGGAAACTTGCCCCCTTTGCGGAAGAACCCTCCTGCACACCCCCTGGCCACCAGCTGCCCTCTGCCCATCCCGGCCCCATCTTTGCTTCCCAACACTCCATCTGCAGGGTGTACCCCCAAACAGTGTTTGCAGCTGTGTCAGGGGGGTGTCTGTGGAGCGGGGGGGGGTCCCCAGCCCTGCCCCTGGGGTGTCTGTGGAGCGGAGGGGTCCCCAGCCCTGCCAGCACGCCCGACCCTGACCGTGTGCTGGAGGCGGCTGCTCCTTCTGCACGCCGAGGATGGCTGCCCCGCCATGAATGCATTAGCAGGAGAGTTCAACCTTTCATTCTCAGCCTGATTAATGCATGGACGGATCCAGATTTTTGTAAATATATACTTCTGTATGTGGTCAGATCATGGGGTAGGGGGTTTGAAGCCTGCTCAAAATAATGATTTAATATTTGAGGTACTTGACAGCTCACCTCAGCTATACATTATTTTCTCTCCCTCCTGCCTGAAAGGCTAAAACCGTTAATAAAGATATCAGAGGTTCTGGCTCTGCAGAATGAGTTATAGGTGTGCGATCATGTACACCTTTGTTTGCCGGTGACAGTGGGTATTAGTACCAAAGGCAACTTTCCTCTAATATTTGCACGAGCAGGACCAGGCACACATATGTTAGTGAACAGCAAACAGGAGGGGACCGGGACATGGCTGACCTATGTCGCCAGCGGGAATCGAGACAAATGTCTCCAAACACAGTTTTGGGGACGTCTGGCTGGCTGCAGGCGCACTCCACCCTGTTGAACTTCCCGGGGCAGAGAGCTCCTCTCCCTGCTCCCAGCGAGCCGGGCACCTGCAGGTTTGGTGTGCAGAGACTCTTCTCCCACCCTTTGATTTTTTTCCCTGACACCTGAGCAATATCAGGTGAGACTTGCAGAAGCATGTGAGTAAGGCAGGACGTAAAGTCTGGCCGCAGTTGCTGCAGGCGGGGAGAAAGGCCCGGTTGTTCCCTGGGTACGGTCAGCCTGCCACCAGAAGTCTGGTAAAATAAGCTTGTAGCGTTGCTTATCTTTATCATTGTAAAAATCAAAGATAAGAGTCTCCCTTCTGAGTCTCAGCTTACTCCTTCGTCTCTCTTTGAGGGATAATGTTTTACGGTTTGGGGACTAAAGCTGCTGGGTAAATATATCAAGATATATCACTTCTTCTATTAGTTTCTGTGCACAGTCTTTTAAGAAAAGGGGGACATTTTCTTCAGTATGTGGGTGTGTGTTTGGTCCTACCTCCTGTGTCAGAGCAAGGTGGGAGCAGCTTGCCATCCGTGTGTGAAGCAGGCATGGTGTGTGAGTCTGGTTTCTCCTGCTCTCGGCACAGCATCGCTTTTCTAGTGCAAAGAGAATATTTAGGAATTTGTAATTTTTTTACCGTACATATTTCTGGGAAATGCTCTTGAAACATTTTGGTCATTGACCTTGCTAATCCCTCCAACTAGGACATCGGCAGAGATTAAAACCAGCAGGGAGTTCAAATGGGTTAGTTAACAAAACCGAAGTGATTGGGTTTGGATGTTTTTTCCTCGATACTTCCCTCTCTCTGGCGGTGAGCAAAGGTTTGAAAACCCTCTGTGATATACTAGAGCCCCGCGCAGTTTCTTGGAGCTAGGCGTGCTGTGAGCATCCTTCCCCTGGGAGCTGCAGAAAGCGCTGCTCCGCCTGAGCGCGACCCCGGCTCCTCCAACACTGAATTCACTCTTCCCTCGGAGTTACCCGTTTT